TGTGAAATATTCGATGTCAAAGTGCCTTTTCTTTTATTCTTCTCTTTTTTCGTGTTTTGTACAATATACGTTTTTGTGCACGACTAACATTCAATTTGGTTATTAAACTCATCATAGATACCAAGATTAACATTTTGTACGCCAGATGCGCTTTTAGTCTACATAAGACTCATCACTGACGCTCGAGTCAAAAACGTTAAAAAGGCCAAATACAGTACGAAGTTGAAGAGCATTACGGATCCAAAATTTTACAAAATACAGCTAAGGTAATATAATCCTTGGGTCGAAAATCATAAGTATTTCGAAAAAAATTGTTTTGTAAAAAGTTAATTCATAATTATGATCATATCAAATAATGACAGAAGTGCGGACACTTGGGCTGATGATACTCTTAGGGTGAAAACCTCCACCAGCAGTGGCAACGACCCAGTGGCTGTAAATAAACTCGTCATAACTACCAGGATTAAAATTGTGTACACCAGACGTATTACTGGTGTATAATCTCTACTGAAATGATAAAAGTATATCCAGAAAAGCGCATAGCCCAAACCTTTTTTTAGATATGGGGAAAGTTTGGTTTTCCATGAGCAGCAATGAAAAAAGGTAGTATGATGATGTTCAGTACATGTTCCACAACACTAATGTATGAAGATATGAAGTATACGTCAATAAGACGGTAACCAAAAGTCAATAACAACCATAAACCATCTAGAGGGCAACATATTAAGTAGTCTTCAACAATAGACTAGCATTTAGCTTGAAAACAGATAAAAACTATTGACACAAGATATATATCTCGCCTGTGTGTATGGTCGATAGTGTTATCAAAATGGTGCAACTTTCAAAAATGCTTACACTTAATTAAACGTGTAAATTATGCAAATATTTCAGTTAGATTCAATTAAAAGGATTGTGCCAAATTATCTCCATAGAAATGGAATTTGTCAATGCTAATACAACTCCTTACCAAAAAGTCAGTGGCTAACAATTATTGTTTCCCCTTAAACTGACCTAATCACAAACTTTTACATAACTGAATTCCAAAAATATACGACTTTCATTATTATTTTCCCCGGTAAACTGGCCTTATCACAACTATGGAAAAGGATAAGCATCTCCTGCATCTCCTGCGTCACGATTTCAAAGTTGCATCTATTAAGTCTCAATCAAAGAAATTGTGAGCACTGAATGGTTGCTTTCATTTTTCAATGTAAAATTATAATTAAACATTGCATTGCTATTAGTAATGGAACATAATTAGACAATGTTTTAAACATGGGTTATCTTCCTTTGTCCATACAATTTGTAATTGTAGTTAAGCCAATTTTTAGAAAAATTAGTTGCATACACCATGCACAATTTATGTAATTTTCAATAAAATAATTGTCTTGACAAGAATGACTATACACACAAACATCATTTTGTGATTGAATATCCGACTGCATATCAGTGCTAAATTGTTTGAAATAAGGATCTAAAGAATGTTCACCTCAAATGCACTATGTTGTTCGTATTCTAAAAGGTAGAAATAAGGCCTGAAAATAAAGCAAGTGACAATAGGGTTTTGATTGCATTTTATGCAGTCTTTACCACATAAACAATGAGCATGAAAAAACTGGTATATAAATCTGAATTGACAATTTGGATATGTTGGATCTATGAGAGGTAAAAGGACACATACGGGTTGTGATATTGAAACACTTCAACAATCAATCAATTTATCACAGCGACTGTCTAACTTGTGAAGCTATTGTTCCAATTTTATCATTTCAGCTGCTAAACGAATTGAAAGAAAAAGTAGAAAAATACAAGCCATTGAAGGACTTAAAAGTTCCTCAGGCACGTATTCTATTGGTTGGTCAAGTAGGAGCAGGAAAATCTAGTTTCTTTAACACTATAAACTCCATCTTTAGGGGCTACATAACCAGTCAGGCCTGCAGTGGTAATGCAGAACACAGCTTAACAACTATGGTAGGTTTTTTTAAGTTTTTTTTCAGTTATCGATTGTATAATATAATAACGTGCAAAAATGTCTTTAGTAACAACTTTTACGTATCTTTGATCTGTATTCATAAAAAAAATTAAGACAACTGAATTTTAGTCTCAGCAATAATACACATTTCAGTATCACAAGTTCGTCCTTTTGTCCTCTCTATAATAATAAAACATTAGAATTGAATAGAACGTACCGCAGTTTATCAACTCGGGAAAGTATGCAATTCGTACTTTAAAAAATACCAGCAATCTCGATAGATTCATAATATAAAAAAGATTTGCATAAGATACAAAGGTGACATTCACAACCCATTAGTTAAAGAGAAACTGGCATCGCCATGGCAAAACAAAAGATGACGAAAAAACAGAAAAAAAGTCTTCAAAACTCTCAATAAAAAACTAAAGAATGGGCAACACCGATCCCACCAGAAAATGGGGGTGAACAGAGATGCTCCGAAAGTGTAAGCAGATCCTGCTCTACTAGTGGCACCCGTTATGCTGCTCATGGTAAGAACAAATAATCTTTAGCACTGAGTTTTGATAGCTTTATTAGCACATTTTCACGTTTTCAGTTGAATTTGATGTTTTAATTGTTTTATACGTACACTTTCGTCGGAAAAAACATTGACCAAATCTTGCTGCAAACAAATGTGTTAAATAATGTTGCATGTGGGTTACATACACATCCTTACAAAATAGTTCAAGTAATATATGCATGTTGTCACGGTCTGAAGCAAAAACGTTCATAATCTAGGATTAATCAGTTGAAATCATCAAGTGTGAAATCGTAACATCATGATATCAACACAGATGGAATACATGTATACCAAAACTTGTTCATTTGGTATTTATATCGTATTTCTGACCATATATTCTTCAGAGGATGATAATTGCTACATTGAAATATCTGTTAAACTTTTGTCAATACTGATCGTTTGTGTCTCCTCTAACTTAAACATTGTTTGTTTAGTACCGAATGTACCAAATCAGAAATGGGCAATCAGGCACACCAATGAATTTTAGACTTCATGACACTAGGGGACTTGAAGCTGATCAAGGAATTGATTCTCATGAAATGAATTACCTTCTTGATGGTAATTTACCAGACAGACACCAGGTATTTTGAAAGATAATGTAAACATTTGTTTACTGTCATATAGCATTGAAGATACAGTGCATGGTACAATTTTTAATTGAGATGACAGCTTTTTAGTATTTTCCCCCTTTAAAAAAATAGTTACAGGAATTCAAAAATACAGATCTGTTTAACATGACGAGTAATATACATGAAAAAATGTCAACACAATGGAAAATATCAGAGAACAGAAATCAAATTTTATTGTCATATTCTCCACTATTTAAAAAAAAAATTAGTGGATGTCCTCAGCAGCAAGTTTTTCAACCGATTTAAGAGACAATATAATAATTTTCAAAAATAATGTTATTGAGAATTCACTTCATTTAAACAACTTTACAATAAGTCTTTCACATGGTTGTTAACTTTAATTTTTTAATAGTTCAATCCCTCTGTACCAATATCAGGAGATACAGCAGGATTTGTTGCTAGTCCTAATCTAAGTGACAAAATCCACTGTGTCATATTTGTACTTGATGGAAGCATTGTTGATGTTATTCCAGAGAAGGTTATTGAGAGGATGAAGAACCTACAACTTCGTATGAATCAAAGAGGTTTGAAATAATGTTGTTTATACCAAAGCAGCCATGTTAAAAAAATAAATATAACTAAGGGTAAAAAGATAATCAAATTCTGAAGGAAAACATATGCAGACACTATTAACGTTCATTTTATTAACTAAGTTACTGAAAATATATATTATCTGGTATGCTTGAAGTAATACCCTAATTAAAGATTATCAAGTCTTTTTGAAAAAGACAGTATATATAGTCTCAAGTGTTGATTACCACTATATATGTGTTAACCAGTTTTTGATGCCAAAGAGATTCTTGAAAGGTCGGTAGCTGTTACTATTGTAAGCAGTGTAAGTCTTACCAAATTGTTTAAATTCTTTGAAAAACAATACTAATTTCACTCTTCTATCTTTTTACAAAGTTTATTAACAAAACCAAAGATGGAGATGTGGGGAGATGCAGATATGCTTTTAGACAAATACATTGTGATCACAAAATATTCAATCTTTTGATACACAACAAAATAGAAAGGGATGAGCAAAGAAGACAAAAATTTCTAAGACCAACTTTATCTGGGGGGTTGCAAATGAAAGTTTTATACTAAATTCAATGCACACAACACGTTTCTGGAATGTATGCATGTTCAAGACCTTAAAGAAATATAACTAATGCTATGTTAAATTTTACAGGAATTCCCCAAGTAGTTTTGCTTACCAAGATAGACAAAGTGTGTGAGGCTACAGCCGAGGATATATCTCAGGTTTTCTATAGTCCAGTCATCCAGGAAACTGTAGATAGGGTATCACAGATAATGGGGCTTCCAAGGTCACACATTTTACCGATCAAGAATTATGAATCGGAGATGGAGCTGAATGAAAACGTGAATATTTTGGCTTTATTGACTTTGCAGCAGGTGTTACATTTCGCAGATGACTACATGTATAACTATCTTGACCAACTCGAGGAAGGGAAATTTAGACAGCTTCACATAAGGGAATAAGTGAAATACAAATTACTCTGATTGAATAGAAAATTGTATGCTAATTATATTACAAAATTGCAGTATGCAGAATATATTATCAAGTATTCAAGTATACTTAAGTATTATCTCATTAGAATATAAAGTTGAGGACAAGTTTTTCTGAAATACAGAAGCAAATCTTGAAAATTGACTTCTGCTATTAAACGACTTAGAATGTCAAACAGAAACTTATAAGGCTGCTTTGTTGGGACATTGCTGCATAATAAAAAATGTACTGTGTATGTTTGTTAATTAAATGCAATGTTCTCTGATTTATTTTAAAGGACTCAGGAAATTTTAAAATAATAGTACAAGAAAAAAACTAACATCAAGATTGAAATAGAATTTATATGTATTTTCCTTCAATATTATACACAAACAATAATAAATTACAAAGAAATAAATATGATATCCATCAATAATTAACAGTTCATTTTGCACTACTTCGAAGATATCAAACCATCACAAGATTTCAACCATGATCTTGTAAGACGGGGATGTTCCGTCTTTCAAAAAAATCCACAGAATTGTCAATTTCTTTTATCAATTTTTATATTCCACATGATATAAAAAATTGGTTCGATACACTTGATATAAAAAATTCTTCTATTCAACAAAATTTTCACTTGATATAAATAATTCATCTATTAAACAAAATGTTCTGTGTGTAAGCCAGTACTAAAACAATAGAATTCATCTCACAAACAAACATGAAATTATCACAGTATAGGACGGACATAATTATATATCACAGTTTACAATAGCATATTTTTATGTACAGTCATTTGAAAAGCACATTTATTGTATGAGATTTACAGTTTCTTCATAAATTATACTCTTCATTGAAAATTTAAAAGATATCACTGAGAGAAAAAAACAGTATGAATTTTCAAGTGTGTAAAGAAACAATACAGAGTTATCTCCCTTAAACCATTCCAGGTTTAGCATACATTGGCAGATGGTAGTAATTATAACTTAGGAAACTGAGGAATCTGGTATCTACAGCTCGTTTGGTTCCTGTTTCTTGATAGATCTTCAATAATTGTTCTTTCTGTGACTCATTCATCTAAAAGAAAAAGAAAAAAAAATTGGAAATATGTGTCAATAGGACACTATGCTCTTTCGCACTACTGTGGATTCATTTATTTTCGTGGGTACCAATTTTCGTGGATTGCGGAAAACTTACACTTTCGTGGATATTCAATTTCGTGGTTCTGCTAAAGTCTGCATACAAGTCTATGGAAAATTTGTAATTCATTGAACATTTAAATTCGTGGTTCACCTGTACCAACAAAAGCCACGATAATTGGTTTCCAATGAAAATTAATGAATCCACAGTATCACACTTCCATGTTCAGTGACCATGAAATGTTAGTCAAAATCCTGATTTAGCATATATTTTTAAAAAGGTTCACATCATAATGAACATGTGTAATTAGTTTCGAGTTGTTGAGACACTGAGGACTACCTTGAGCCAAAACTAACCCGATATGGGAAGGATGAATGGACACCCAAATCAGAAAACATAATGCTTTCCTACTATCGTAGACAGAGCATAAAAATGTTTGATATTGATTCATGCTAGCATGAAACCTGTTTCTGAAATAACCTTCTTTAGGTACATTTGAGACCAATAGTTTGGCATGTCAAAAATATTGAACTGTTGAGACCAAATCTGGATGGAAAAGAAAGAAGGTTAAATATATGTGTCATTTGGACACCATGCCACCTCTCTCATTTCCATGTTCAGTAATCAAGAAGTATTGGTCAAAACCATGATTTTTTGTAAAACTAAAATGTCTTGAACAAAACATATAAAACTGTCTTAGGACAACTGTTCATCTCCTGAACTTGAAATTAACACACAAATGTATAATTTAAATTATGCCAATACACAATGTAATTTACCAAAAGACATCCAGAGATCAATATAATGTCTTCAACAATAGACAAAGTGTCTATACAATATGTTGCGCTCTAAATTGTCCTGAGTCTAAAAAAGTGGTGCATAAAATAAACCAAAATTGTTAAAGATCAACAAAGTTTGATACCAATGGCAATACAAATTAAAAATTAACCAACAAAATTGAGTTAATAACATCAAATGAAAAGAAATATAACAGGCAATACAGCATCAACCTCTGGCTTCGAACAACTACAAGTGTAATCTAGAAACCTTTTTTGATGGATGTGGATACAAATGGTTTCAGTTGTAATAAATAACTCACCGGTACATCTTCATCAATGATCTGTCTGACCTTTTCTTCCACAGCCTCTATACCTTTCTCCTGTTTAAATCATAAAATGAACATTATAAAACCCAAATCTTACTAAAACTGTGAAAAGGAAAAGGTATGATAAGTTTACATTTTTGGCCTCTTTTATGTGGTAAAGCCTTGACTGGTATCTAATTTCATAGAAAACTATGAGTAAAATTGCTATTTTTAGTAAAAGAAAATGTCAATTTCTATGCCATAATAGTGTCACCACAAATGACATTTCTGCACTAAAGTGTCAGATTATATCATCCTAGTAATTCATACATGGTATTTACATAATTTTAGTAGAATTGATGATTTTTTTTTTAATTTATACAATTTCAGGGGCCAGAAAATGACTCAAATTATACCTCTGTATTACTTTCCAATTTTTTTCTTCATCATATTTTGAGGAAACTATTTCTACATAATGCCAAGCAGATCCCTTTTTTAAAAAGCAAACCCAAAATTAAACCCTACATAGTTATTGTATATGTTCCAAACATAATATTATAGCTATCTTTCTCATGTCTTTTTTCATCAATCAAAGAGAAGCACCTGGTACAGGTTCAGTGGATCAGGATTTTTATCAATAATTAACCAAGACCTCTAATGTTGGTATGAACTTTGGTTAGAGGCAAACGAAGCATCACTTGGCACTTTTTTAAACAAGGAAGGAATCATAAAGGACTTTCCGATTCAGAAAGAATGTCATACTGTTAATTCAGAAATGATTGCAAGGTTTTTATTAATGCAAATAATGCGACTGCCTGAGTATCACAATATAACTCGCATTATAATATTTGCTACAGACATCTGTATGCAGATTTTCTGTAATCGCAATAATTAATCTCATGTTTGTCCATTCTTCAAAAATCTCAATAATAAATGCACACAATAATTTTTAATACCCAAATAGTACTTTTTTCAATTAATATGTTCCCTGCAGTATACAGTGAACTCACAACCTCTCAAAACGAATGATTTTTTCCATAAACAACAAAGTTAGAATCCATGGATAAAATAAACTTTCACAGTGTTTTCATCAATCAGTCTCTCTGAGTTGCAATAGTTCAATTAAAACATCATTAGACAAATGACTGATTTTATACACCTTTCACTAGATTCCTTCACAAACATTTTTATTCCTTGTTATATTTATTTAGTTATAAACCTGGGAATTGTGGGACAGTTAAAACATCCTTTCATCTCTCATGATTGGAAATTAATATTCAATTTACCGCTGGCAGGATTTATTGATCTTTGAAACCAAAGGTCAATTAAGCCAGAATTAGTGATTTTTTTTATAACTACAATCAGTCTAATTGCATTTGTGTTTTAGAATGGTTTTTTTAAGGAGTTACTAAAAATAGAATAAAATCTGACAAATCATATGTTACAGAGTCTTTTTAAAATTTTCACCTGTTCCTAGTTTCAAGGTTTTGTCACTCCATCTTTTTTAATGGTTCCTGTTTCAAGGTTTTGTCATGCCTTCATTTTGAATTTCCAACAATAACATTTGCATGCAACCAATAGTTGAGCCAGAAAATAGACATTTGCAACAGAAAAATGAAAAACTGACTTTGGCAGGTATTACAACAGTTTTTCTATTCCTAATTAGGCTGAAATTTTTCTTTTTAAATAACATTATTGTAAGTGGACAAATACATTTGTTGCACATAACATTCTGACAGGCAGATAACTAAATTTATTGTATCAAATCTGTTGATATTAACCAATCATACGGGATGTTACACATAAAACAAATTGAAATCATTCTAATTTCACTGACCACCAGGCAAAAGTTTTTTTGAACCCATGAAGTGAATAAAAGGTATGCCAATCATATCAATTTATCTACCAAAACATTATTAGCTTTAGTTATTGCTTAATGTTCAGTGGCCAATATTTCATGCTTAGTCAATACAATAAAAACAACATACAGGACTATTGCTCAGTAGTTCTCTAACTTCATCACGGAAATCTGTGAATCTATCATGGTACATTGCCAAACTCCATGTCTCCAAGAAATATCTGAGGATGAAAAAATAGGAAAATGACAGAGTGTACAAGTAAGAAAAAAGTAGTTTGACCAACATTTTTCTATGAGTCAAATATCACCAATCTCTTATTTATAACATCTTGTATTTACATTTTTAATTTGATTTACAAAAAAGTAAAACCACATGTTGTATTAGTAGCTGAACTTCTTGTTTAATAAAGCTACTGGTTGCATTATTTTGCAAAGGTTTAATTTGCACATGTTTTAATAACAATATCTTTTAAGATTTTGGAACATAACTATCATTGTTTGATTTTCGCTGATATAGGCCATATGGTGACCTAGACATGCTTACATGACCACATCACTTGGTCTTTGGTGGAAAGGTTGATAATCATACTACATCTTCTTATTTATATACTTGTCAGTATGTAATCTTGTAATCTATTGTATATCTTATAGTTTCCCACTTGATGATGATGAGTAGGTGTTCCATATCCAGTGGCAAATACTACATGCATATTGGGATAATTATATGTTAATAAGATATGAATGCGAACCCTGCTATGTACTAGACCTACATTCTGAGCTACACTTCAACCAGTTTGCAAGAAGATATGTTACCCTACCCAGACACATTATTCTGACTCAGAGCCAACAAGTCTGTTCTTGCTCCAAAGCACCTCGTACTTGGCAGAGAAGCAGCAAATACAAATTTTCAAGTGTTTGGTTTAACCGAATTGGAATGTAACCAACTATGTCTGCTTTTTAGACAAGCAAGCTACCACAAGACCCCCGAGTCAGTTCAGATCGAAAGGAATTCGATCTTGAGCTATCTTAAAATGTAAGGTAAAGATATTTAAAGTGCTTTAGTGAAACAGTTTTCTTCATGTGAATGCACCTTACATATACCCAAGTTCCTATTTCAGATTGAAACTTGACATTTTAGGTAAGATAATATTGAACTGATCACATGGTTTCAATTAAAAAGGTTTCTATATTTTAAAATCAAATACATACGTGTAAAAGTCCTTGATAAGTCCTTCATTAAACCTGGACACCAAATTATTTAGACATCTTTCATGAAGTCCATACAAACATACAAAGTTACTGGATGGAATAGACTGAAATAAAGAAGTATATTATTTACTGTGGATTTATTTATTTGGATACCAATCTTCGTGAATTGAGAAATAAATTGTATTTCTGTAGATACTGTGGATTCATTTATTTTCGTGAGTACCAATTTTTGTGGATTGTGGAAAACTTGCAATTTCGTGGATATTTAATTTCGTGACATTGGCAAAGTTTGCATACATTCCTTTAGAAAATTTGTCATTCCAGTACCCACGGAATCCACGAAAATTGGTATCCAACGAATGTTAATGAATCCACAGTACTTGAATTGCACATTTTACCCATTCTGCACACAAGCCATAGAAAGCATAATATAAAAAAGATACAGAAATAAGGGTTTACCGTTACCTACACTATTTAATAAATTTCAAACTTGGGAAAACTAGCCTCTACAATCACTGACTGTTAGTTCCTTACTATCCATTGGCAAAAGGGTCAAGCAAAATTCAGACCAAGAACAAATGAATAATTTTTAAATTCATAGAACCTAAAGAATGGAAGAATGGTCGGGTAATTCTTGTCCATTGGCAAAAGAGTCAAGCAAAATTCAGACCAAGAACAAATGAATAATTTTTAAATTCATAGAACCTAAAGAATGGAAGAAGGGTCAGGTAATTCTAACAACTACAGGAAAATTGACCTCTTTATCATTATTGATTTTTAGATGGACAGACAAGTAATAAGATTCGACATTGCGAAAACTTGTAGTCTTATATATTTGACAATGGCAATAATGTGTAGACTTATATATTTGACTATGATGATATTAAACCTGTAGACATATATTTGACTGACAATATCTTGTAGACTTACATATTCTACTATGTGAATAAATTGTAGACTTATATATTTGACTATGGCAACTTGTATGCTTATTTGGCTAAAATTGTAACTATAAAAATAGGGAGATGTGGTATGACTGCCAATGAGGCAACTACCCATCAGAGACCAAATGACGTAGAGGTTAGCAGTTATAGGTCACTGTACATCTTTCAATAATCAGCAATACCCATGCCACATAGCAAGCTATAAAAGGCCATGACATGAAAAGTGTAAAACAATTCAAACAAGAAAATTAAAGATCCGAGTTGAAATCAAATATTTCAGGTTTTAATTCAAGTGATATACTTTAAATTCACAAAAGTTATAAAAGTTCCATCTTAACAACTTGGTTTTCAACAACAACCAGTTTTTTCATAGTTCTTGATATAATATAAATTGAATTGTCAAGTTCCAAAAACACGCACTAGACTGAGAACTTCTTTTTCTGGTATCAAAAGACTATTAATGGTATTTATATATAACTTACAGACTTGGACACACATGTGATAGTCTCTATATTGTTATACTGATTCACATGTATCCTGAAGTATTCTGGACTTCCATCAGTAGCTCCTGTTATATATTCTTTACCCTGAAGATAGAAAGTCAATTTTGTTTATTCCAGGCATATTGTATATTGTATGAAAAATTATAAAGATTCTAAATAAAAACTTTATAAAATATTAATTTAAATTTCTCATAACATTTTTTAAAATATAATACTTAGAGATATCTGTCCGTCATGTGAACTTTGATGGAGTCTTGATGTGGTATGCATTTTATAAGTCTCCTTTAAGTGCACTGTATCAAGTCCCTGTGAGCACAATTCATAAAGTTTCCCTAGTTGGCACTGTTTTATGTTAATTAGAATGCATGTATAAGGTCGCTTGAAGTTCACTGAGTAAAGTCTCCTAGAAATTTGCTAATGTAATCACCTGGTTTTATTTGTAATTAACAACACAGGGAGGAACCTTAGTGTCATTGTTCTAGCACCTATTATTGCGAACCCAATGAAAGTTTTCCACAGTGCCATCTCTATCTTGACCAGGTATTTAAACTTTTGCAAGTTCACCTGTCCTATTGAATAAATACAATAGCTATTGTTCTCTGTGTAGTTTATTCTCTGGGACCTTTAAATTTCTTCTAAGAGAAATCTATCATTCATTGATTAAATTACCAGAGTAAAAAAAAATTCTTATATATAGACAAAAATACTTTTTTTATACTCATTAATTGCTAGTGATGATGTATTTATTCAATATTAATAATATATTTTCATTCAGTTTAATATAAACATTGATTCAATCATAAAAAGTTGATTTCTAACAAAAGTTTTCTCAATGTTCCTATTGAAATTTGATTTTTTTTTTTTAGTTGTAGAACACATTTAAGAAGATCTTAATTTGAAACATCATTATTTTCAAGTTCTTATTCATGTCAAACAAATTTTTTTTTAAAAGGAACAATGTTGAAAGTTTTGTCAGAAATCAACTTTTTATGATTGAATCAATGTTTATATTAAACTGAATGAAAATATATTATTAATATTAAATAACTAGTCATCACAAGCAGTTAATGAGTATAAAAACAGTATTTTTGTCTATATATAAGAATTTTTTTTTTACTCAGGTAATTTAATCAATGAATGATAGATTTCTCTTAGAAGAAATTTAAAGGTCCCAGAGAATAAACTACACAGAGAACAATAGCTATTGTATTTATTCAATAGGACAGGTGAACTTGCAAAAAATTAAATACCTGGTCAAGATAGAGATGGCACTGTGGAAAACTTTCATTGGGTTCGCAATAACAACTATTAGTGCAATAAAATATCTGAAGTTGGCTAAAAAAAAGAGAGAGTAAAGTCTCCTTTGATTGCAATGTATAATGTCCCCTTAAGGTGCACTGTATACATCCAACTTGAAGTGGTAACTAAAAATCCACTTGGTGTGTAATGCAAAGTTTCCTTGGAATGCATTTAATAAATTCCCTTGCAGTTAACTGTATAATGTAAACTTACATAATCATGTTGTGCCATCTGATCTGCCAGAGGCATGTCCAATCCTGGCTTAGCAATGTGTAAGTAGTTGTAGCCTCCTAAAAATAGAAAAATACTTCTGATATAATGATCAAGAACAGGGTGCACTATGAAACTTAATCGACATAATTTTTCACTGAATTTTAACTTTTCATTTGTCCATTTCAAAGATGAGGTAATGCAGAATCAACAAGTGAATCTGTGAGCTACTGCTCACTAAATTAATGATACCCCCGCCCGCTAAAAGTATAAAGTAAACAGGAAGTTGTTGAGTGATGAATCTGAAAACGCATCACACGGTAAAGCGGACTGATATAAACCCTAAAAACAAATTTCAGAAATCCTTGTATTGTAGTTCCTGAGAAAAATGTGACGAAAAATATTCATCGGACGGATGGACGGACTGACGGATGGATGGACTGACAGATGGACAGACAGAGGTAAAACAGTATACCCGCACTTTTTTAAAGCAGGGGTATAATAAAAACATGCAGTTACGGATCCATAAAGTCTACCATAAATGTAGTCTAAACATCGTGTAAATGGCACTTCTATATGTTTTTGGAAAATCATAGATTTTTGTCAACTTTTAACAAATTATTTACCCATTAGTACACATATACAACTTGCGTACTATATTAAAAAAGAAATAATTTATGAAAATATTATTTTATATATCAGCACCATATATCCTGGCTTAATTTATAGGCAACAGTTTTTGTTCTATACCAGTAATTAACAGTTAATTAACACTTCACTGCAAATAGCTAAATGTTTGTTATTTTTTACTGTCCATCATATAAACATTAGATGTGGCATGACTGCCAATGAGACAACTATTCACCAAAGCTCTACTGAGTGGATTTAAGCAATTAAAGGTCACCATACAGCCTTTTACAATGATAAAAACCCATATTAAATAGTCAGCTATAAAAGGCCCAGACATGAAAAAATGTGAAACAATTCGAACTAGAAATGTTTATTGTTTTTTCATTAAATCAGGTTGTTGGTTTCCTCTCTTAAAGAAATTGTTTCAAATTTTGTCAAGGGCATTTTATAGCTTAAAATACAGTATGAACTTTGCCCTTATTGAAGGCAACCTATAGTTGTTTACATGTTCTCAGGTGGATAGTTGAGACATTGGCAAATAAAATATCTCCTTATCTTTATATATAAGATGTTACATGTTTTAAATTCATTTGATACCATTATTTTGGTTCATATATCTGATAAAATTCAAGCTGATTGAAAAATTACATCAATCAATCAATTCCTGTGAGAAGAAATTTTGTTTTGATTTTTTTTTTTTTTTTTAAGTTTTTATAAAAAAATAAATGATGCCAATTCATGTGAGAGAAACAAACTTTGTACTTTAAATTTTTCAGGGTTTTTTTTTTATCTTTCATAAAAGATCTATCAAGCTAATGTTGCAGAACTTCAAACTAGATTCAGTAATTACAGAAAATAAAATGCAAATGTAAATGAAATAAACTGTTTCAAAAGAGTTTTCTTCATCCATGCATGTTTGATACCAATCATTTTCATGCAATGTACAACATGGAAGATTAGAAACATGTAAGCAAGATGAATGAAAATAAGATTTAAGTTTTTAAATCTTTTATATCTTGATTGGAATTTCCTGTAAGAGAATGAATAAAAAAACGCAGATTCCTATTGATTGCATTTCTATTACCATGTAAAACAAACTTAATGATGTACTCAGGTCAGGTTTATGAATTTTTGTCAGATGTTCGGACTTCTTGGGTTTTTTCCTATGATACAGGGTAAAATATTTTACCCCATATCACCAACTTTTCTTTTCATAGAAGATTTCAATAGCTCATAAAAAGGTTATTACCAAAATTTAAGCAGATTCTAGATTTTTTTTCTAACAATTTGAGACCCAAAAATTGCCAATGCTAAATACAAAGTAAAAGTCTGAGTCAGCCTTTTCCGCCATTTTTTTAAAATCAAATATCGCAAAAAGCAGTTCCATAACCTATCAATATTTTTAGCTTATTTTGTTCCTTTACTTATGCTCTTCTGACTTATAGTATCAATTTTAAATTCGAGATTTTTAAAATTTCACCTAACGTAACAAACTTAAGACTGTTAAAAGATCATTGACTCTTTTCTTGTAGTTCTTGAAAAACTGATTTAATATTCATCAATGAACCATGAAAATAAGGTCATGATCAGGTTAACCCTCTGAGGTGGATATCTACACCCAACAACAATTTTATGAACCTATATAGTTCACATATATTACTTATTGATAAACTGGCCTAATCACATATACTTGACCAATGAACCATGAAAATGAGGTCATTATCAGATCATAAGGAACATAAATTGAGTGACATCTGACAAAATAAAAACTCATTCAACTTTGACCACAGAATAAAAATAAACTCCCAAAAGTATAGAAGATTTAAGTAAAACACATACAATTTATCCAATTTCATATCTATCAAATAAAATGATAAAAATTTGTTTCAAGTTACTGTGTATTGAGAAATTATTGCAAGGTTTTATTAATGCTAATAATGCGACTACTTGAGTATTGCAATAATAAGAATTTGCATTCTAATATCAAATACATATATCTGTATGTAGCTTTTCATAAATTCGCATTTATTTTTGTCCATTCTTCAAAAATAGAATTAATAAATGTACGCAATAATTTCTGATTTCAAGACAGTCTATTCAAACCAACAGGAGACATCGTCACAGCATTTGTTTAAAGTTAATTCAGAAGATTTTATTTAAAAGAACGTGCCTACGTAAATTGGAATTAATGTAAGACAAACTTCAAAGTCCTTATGAAAAAAACAATCAAAATTCTGTTGACATGAAATCTAAAGATAAAAACTAAAATTGTTTAAAGTTAATTCTGAACATTTATTTCAACCAAAAGAACTTGCCTACATAAATAAGAATTCATGTAAGACAAACTTCAAAGTCCTTTTAAAAAAATATCCAAAACTCTGTTGACAAGAAATCTAAAGCTAAAAACTAAAATTTGTTTAAAGTTTATTCCGAACATTTATTTAAACCAAAAAAAAGAGCCTACATAAATTGGAATTCATTTAAGACAAACTTCAAAGTTCTTTTGAAAAAATAATCAAAATTCTGTTGACAAGAAATCTAAAGCTAAAACTAAAATTTGTTTAAAGTTAATTCCGAACATTTATTTTTAAAAACCAAAATATACAAGCCTACATAAAATGGAATTCATGTAGGACAAACTTCAAAGTCATTTTGAAAAAATAATCAAAATTCTGTTGACAAGAAATCTAAAGCTAGGTAACTTCTTATTTGTCTTCAGCTAAGTTTATTCACAAATCTGAATATCAATGTCTTTGGGTATTGATGTTTCATTCTATTTGTGTTTGTTTGATCTTGGTATTTGCTACAAGATTCAGCTAATACTATCCCCAAAAAATAGTAGTTTGTTTCTGGTCCCATCTGGTTCATTAAAACAGAGATCATAAAGATGATTTCCTCTTTTATTAATGATGACATCTTGTTAATTAAAAATGTTCCTTTCTCTGATGTTGTACTAGTAATAAGACTCCTATCTATAAACACTAATGTAGTTTTATGGTAAGACTCTTTAATCCAGGTTTTATACCTTATTATGTCACCAGAAAAAGTCTAAAAATTTAAAGAAGATCAGCAATAATTTCTTGAAGGTCGTTTTGTGTCCTTTATTATTGAAGGTTGTTGCCAAAGTATAATATATCTAGAATAATAAAGATTTGTTATGACAACGCTTAAATAACAATATCATTAAAAGTGTTCAATGCTTTGTATTCTATAATATTTATGATCTCAAGCGATTAATTTGATCATTGAATTCTGATCTTGTTTGCTGATTTTTCCTGGGAGAAACAAACCCATTATTTTTGCAAAAAAAATAAACATGTCATATTTGAATACTATTAAATGAATGCTTGTAATTTGAAGTGGGTCTAAGTTTTCCTAGAAATTACTGTTCGCTTTTTATTTTAATTTTCAAGCCCGATTTAGTATCATTTAAAAACAAAACATTTCCAAATAACCTTTAAGTCAACAGTTTTGTTTGCTGATGGTGTTGTAAAAATGAAAACGCTACTATTTTGTAAACACACATTTTATGCCAAATGTAAGATGTCATTTGCACTTAAATAAAAACTGTAATCACCTGGGAACAGTTTGCACTTTTACAAAGAATTGTCATTACCTGGCAAAACTCCTCCCTGAATCTTTGGATTCCTGTAGATTGGTATCAGATTAAGAGTTTCTTCTGGTGGAGCTGTCTGAGGCTCCATAGTAGGATCAAACAATCGAAGCATTTCTGTTGCCAGCTGCAAATAAAATAAATAACACATATTTTACATACATATAATGATAATACACACACACTACCAAAGATTCTTTTCTTTGTTGTCAGTTTAACTTTAATTGCTTTTCATGCTACACCAAACTTTTACTCAAAAGTTCTGTGTAGAGATTCCATGAAAATTCCATATGAAACTGACCACAAAATGAGCAGCAATGAGGAAACTACATAATCATGTAACAATCTGCAAAATTTGGCATATTTTCCATGGCAATAAAGAGTAACAGAGATATAAAATGGTGGTTGTTTAAATTTGCTGATCATCTGTCATATTCAAACAGCAAAAGGACAAATGGACCATATTCCATATTATGGGGGTGTTGCGAGATAATTCTACATAAGAAAAAGTTCACAATGGGAATTGATTGATTAATAAATATTGTAATCTGCATAAGGTAAAGTGACAAACATTTCATATCAGAACCAATTAAACAAATCCAATAAAAGAACAGAGTTCCAATGCACATATTTTATATTTCAAAGGGGCCTAACTCTTTTAAAAAAAGTCGATCATTTACCATTATAAAACATGTCCGAGATATTGCTGATATTAATCTATAGTATAAGTTTTATAAAAATCTGGCAAGAATTGTACCCTTGAGAGCGCTAACGAGGCCATTTTCCATAAATTTAATATTTCCAAGGGGCATAACTCTTTTAAAAAAGTCGATCGTCCACCATTACAGAACTTGTCAGAGATATTGCAGATATTAACCTATAGTATATGTTTTATAAAAATCTAACAAGAATTGTACCTGTGAGAGCGCTAACGAGGCCATTTTCCATAATTTTAATTTAATATTTCCAAGGGGCATAACTCTTCTTAAAAAAGTCAATCAGCCACCATTATAGAACTTGTCCCAGATATTCACCTATAGTAAAAGTTTTATAAAAATTTGGCAAGAATTGTACCTGTTAGAGTGCTAACAAGACTGGAAGGACGAACACCCTATATTTCCATGTCCCCAGCAACGTGTTACGCAGGGGACAAAAAAGGTTGATAGTAAGGAAGGAATTTCATTAAAAGAGGTATCCTTAAATGTGATTAACAGATTAATTGTTCAACCCATTAAATCATTGATCCATGAAACATAAACAAACTGCACATTGTGTAAGTACAAATTATACTGCCCGTGAAATTTACAGAAGAAAAATAATTTTATCAGAATAGATTATCCATTTGGTGCAAAATTGCTCCAGCTAATTTTTACAATAGGAGAAATAGCAAAAGATCCTCTGATTTATACAAGGGTCAAAGATTAAGTCTTGTATTTCTGACATGAAAAGCTCCATGCACTTATAAACAGACTGACTTTTGCTCAGGTATATATTGTATCTCTCTAAGTTTACAAAGATCACACATTAAAATATCCGGCACATTCCCCTTTTTCAGCAATGCCCTTTTTCATGCATTACCTTGCCCTAAAGAAAAAAGCTGTTTCACATCACCACTTGTTGTAGACTTAATATATTATTTAAAATACAGGTTACGAGGTATGTCATTTTGACCAGGTTACAAGGTATGTCATTCTGACATTATGATATTTATGATATGAAAATACCTGAGGAAAATTTTAGCATTGATATCTATCAGAATAATTACCCACTTGCCAGTTACCTATCTTATAGATTTGTTGTATTCTACATTAACAAGCTTATGATAAACATCATGATATAATGAATAATAAATGTTGTGAAATTTTCAATAATATCTTCTGTTACAATCGTTAAAGTACAATTATATACAATCAATTTGTTGCATACTTTTATGCATAGTTCCTTCCTCCCAAGCAAATAACAATCCTAGTTTTTTTCAATTCCAGGAAAAATCGTGTTGTAATCTTCAATAGGCATGTTTCATTTAATCTATTTGAACTCTAGTCCATTGCAGTTATTTTGTATGGGCTACATAAGTGATTGGTATCTTGCAGGAGTTAATCGTTTTAGTTGCTACCTATTGCACTTAGCAACTTTAAGTACACATTTTCTTATTTACAACCATAATCATACACTTGTTAACAATTTTTTTGGCAACTGATTAATTAAGTTTTACTTTATCTTAGATTTTAAACAATTATTAAGTATTATATAACCCTTAGTTCCACGTGAGAAATTTTGGTTTCATCATTAGATTTTTGTTTTCAAATAGCTCATGGCAGAATAAAATTTAAATGGAAAAAAATGTTAACTCATGTATGGCATCATAGATACATTGTATTGAAATTTGTATGTCAGACGAGCGTTTTGTCTACAAAAGACTCATCAGTGACACTCGAATCAAAAAGGCGTTTAATTAAACAATATTAAAAATGTATTCATGCATTAGTTTGATATTCCACTAAGTTTCGGCAAGGTAAGAAGTTTCCTTTCTAATTCTATTTACCGGAAAATATTTGCAGCTATCTTATTTCAGCTATTTTTCAAAAAAACAAATAGTCGTTTTTTAGATATTTTCACAATATATTGACTACGAAAATCATAGTACTTTAAATTAAAAACTATTAGAAATTTCAATCTAACAAAATATTGTAAATGTGAAATAAATACTCCTCAAAAAGAGATGAACTTATCTCTGCAAAATTTTAACCAGTAGAAATTAATTTGTTTATACATCATTTAGAATTCATATTTGCAAACAAATTTTCATTCCCCCCTGCTTATTATTTATTCAGAATTCTGAAACTTATTTGAAACAATTGTGGGGTCATTTATTTTCATGAGAACAAATTTCCATAGATTGAAAGAAAGTTGTATTTTCATGGATACTTAATTTTGTAATTGTAACAAATTATGCATACCAGCCAATGAAAAAAATGTATTATGGTTGATATTCAGTTTCAGGTTTGCACATGAAATCCATATTAATAAGTATCCAACGAAAAATTATGAATCCCTAGTTAATTTAAATTTGTCAATAAGTATGATATCAAAATAAATAAGACAACTTCACTTATAATATTTATGAAACTATTGACATCAAATTCAACTAAATTGGATTAGAAGCTACGATTTAACAAAATTGGATATTGTTTATGTCCTATAAAGCCTCCCTTGACAGTAAATATAACCAATACAATGTACCAAGAGAAGCTACGATTTAACAATATTGGAAGTTATTAATGTCCAATACAGTCTCCCGTGACAGTCATTTCTACCAATACAATGTACGAAGATCTATTAAAGAGTACCGCCCACTACCGTATAACCTGTATTTATTTTCAATGTTACAATAATTGTATCCCTTTTTACCTGTAATGACATTTGTTCATAAAGGTAAGTCATTAGTTTTTCTGTATAAATATATATAATATTTCAAAACTTTTGGCCCTGAGGTTTTTTCTTAGACAATCAGTTAAAAAAAAAAAGGATTTGAATAAAAAACTGGATCATAGGCCAAAGTTCCTTCTATTCAGGATATGTGAGAGGGAGGATGAAAAGATAAGAATAGTTTTTTTTTTTTCTAGAAAAAGGGGGTATCCTTGAAAAAGACTGGAACTGCAGGCCTATTGTCAATGTTTTCCTCAAAATCACTGCACAGGTGTTCCATATGCCAAAAAAGTTGTATTTCAAGGATTTTTTCTACTAAAATAAAAAAAAATGTTTGGGAAAATGAAATGTTAATTGCAACAAAAATAATGTTGATGAAGCTATAATCTGCAAAGAAGAAATAAGAGGACTCAAATTTTTTTTTATCAGAATTGTATTTAAGATGTCCAATTTATTCATACATTTAGGGATTGCTGGTCAACTTTTTTTCAATGGAAAAGCCATGGGAAAAAAATAGAGGGATTAAGAAATTTGAAGAACTATTTGTATTTTGTATTATTTTTGTTGTTGGGTTGCTGTCTCATACACCAAACATCTTCTTTCATTCATATTATAATTCAAAAATTAATCATACAATGGCTTAACTTCTTTATTCTATTTCTATTCAGGAAAGGTATTTTATGTTCTATGAATGTAATTCCCAAAGTAAACCACAGAAAAAAAATAAGGTTAAAAAATCCGAAGTTAGTCTTGCATATAATTAATTAGGAAATTTGAAAAGTTGGAATTACCTTAATTATGATACAGGAAAATAAATCTAATATTTTCAGGTTTCATCTAACGCTATGCTATGTCAAGCGAAGCAAAATGATAAAAATCTTAAGTTTATTTTTCAGGTAATTTATTATCAGGAAACTCCCAGATTTATTTTTGCTGTTCCTCATATAATAAAATACAGGTGAATATCAAGTCCAAAAAGGCCTTTACCTTCCTTATTAAATGGGAAAAATATCTTTTGTATTTTTTTGCGTAATTTACTTCTAAACCTAATGTTTCAAAGTCAAATTATAAGTTTATACCTTGAGGCTATGTCACATTAACATAATTATCAGGTCAATATTTGACAGAACATTTTTGACCAGGATATATAAAACATGCAGGTAAAAGATAAGAAATATGTGTTTATATCTCAAATTTGGATTAATAATGTAACTTACATTTTTAAATCTATGAAAACAACATTCTTGGTGTTGGTAGCATAACTGCAGTGTAATAAGATCATAAATATTTCATGAATGACATACTTTACAAAAATGCTTACACAAACATTATCATTTTCCATTTTTCATATATATATTTGTGTGTAAGATACGTTTAATTTTGCAACAATGAGTTGTTGCTTAAACCACATCTTGATAGCTTGATAAGAGGAAGTGAATAAAAAATACATAATAAGTAATTATATTTTTTTTTCTAAGTCTGTGCATACATTGGAAAAAATATAGTGAGGGGGGTTTAGGTTAAGGCAAGATTTATCTTTGAATCCCTTTTCGTATATGTCTAAAATTTTCTTATCTATCAGATAGTGGGGTAAATAAAGATATTCTTTTAAGCAAACTGTTGTTAGATTTTAATTCTTATGGTTTATTGCTGAAGGCAGTTTTTTGCTGTATATTATCAAAATAGGCAGAAAAGTCCAGTTTAAGCCTTAAATAATCTGTTTACCATACTATCACACTTTAGTCTAACCTTCTTTTGTGCACATCACCCCTTACCACCCCTCTGTGGCATTTGATAAATAATCTGGATTCTTTTTTATTGTAAAATATGACATATTTTCTTTTAAACCATTTTAGTTGATAGCATTTAGCAAAAGTATTCACTGAAATTAAAATTAAATATTCAAAAGCATCTCTATTATAAACAAGGCATTATTGGAATCTGGAATAATTTTTAGGTCTGGAAATTGTTAAAAAATGTATGATGAAAACTAACCCAACTTTTAAATAGAGGGTTAGCCATACGTGCATGGCTAAGGTTCAAGTTACTTTCACTGATATTTCAGTTTGAACTAACTAACCCCCTTTAACCTTGCATGCATGGCTAATCCTCCTTGATTTGGTTAGTTTTCATCATATATTCCTTATCAATTTTTCAGAATTCAAATTTATACCAGGTTCAAATAATTCCTTGTTTTTATGTCCCTGTACTGATACAGATATTGAAATAACCATCAAAATACAACGCAATTACAATACCAGTAAACACGATCAAGAATAATTTAATCTCTTAAAGCTTGAAAAAAAATTTTCCCCACAAAATATTCATATTTTTAAATAAAGCTTTTAAGTATCCAAAGTTGTTGTCCCTTCAATTCTGATCAAAGATTAATAATCAAAAGCACTAAAAACAACCTACAACATACTGAAACGTAAATACCCTTAGAAATAACACTAACATTCAAATTCTCCCACAAGAACCACTAAAAATAAATGACATTTTGTTTCTTGTTTCAGGCTAGGTTTCATCTGTCAACAGAGTAGAATATAGGAATTGCATTATGCTGATTCTAAGGCTTTGATCGCTGACAAAGACTTGTAATTACGTGACACAACAAGTACTTTATGAAATCAATAGGATTCTAAACGGATTTAAGATCAAATGTCGAAACAAGAATTGTTAATTTCAAAATCTGCATGAAATCTTGAAAGTGCAGAAAATCATTTATTTTACGATGGATACAACTTCACAGGTTTACATATCATTAGAGGTTGTGATTGGAGCAATTTCTGTTGTTGGAAACACTATGGTCCTTTTAGCAATATATAAAAACATGAAACTCCGAACTGTTACCAATACGTTCATCGGAAGTCTTGCTTTGGCTGATTTACTAGTAGGGATATTGGTCTCCCCGCTAGCGGCTCTTAGTTACCTAGGACTTCCAGCAGACTACATGTGGTGTGTTTTTACTAACTCAGTTATTGTTGTTTTTACCCAAATTTCTATTTTCAACTTGTGTGCCATTGCTGTTGAAAGATTTATCGCCATCAAAAGTCCATATTTCTACCAGGAGCACTTGACGATTAAAGTAGCAATTATCATCAGCATTATAGCATGGATCGCTGGTATGATAGTTGGGTTTACTCCCATGTTTGGCTGGAATCTAGGTCCAATGACAGACAATAAATGTGCATTTCTCAGCGTCATAGACATGAATTATTTGGTGTATTTCAACTTTTTCGGCTTCGTGTTGACACCACTAGTAATCATGCTTTTAATTTATCTGTACATCTATTATATTGTTCGCCAGCAACTTGTTAAAATAGCTGCACTAGAAATTGTAAATCAAAATGCACAAAAAAAGCAGAAACTGAATTTTGCAAAAGAAGTTAAAGCAGCCAAATCTTTAGCCATAGTTATTGGTGTGTTTGCCCTCTGTTGGCTGCCTATCCATATCTTAAATAGTATATCACTGATCTGCAAGGGAAATAACTGTATCTATCCTTATAAACTATTACTGGCAGGCATTTTACTTAGCCATATCAACTCTGCCGTAAATCCATTTCTGTATGCCATCGGTAACAGCCAATTTCAACTTGCTTTTAAAAGGATGTTCTGTGGAAAAGGAGCTGTATCTTGGCAGCATACGCTGACCGAACAGGAGATATCAGCCATGACTAGAAATGCCGCCATGGCAAAAGCAAAAAGCACAAACAGTGGCTTCAATTCCATCAATTCAGGACCGAAAACGACTGATAACGATTCCGAAAGCTCAACAGAAAATAATTTAAATACGGAAACAAAAACAAATGATAATGTTGGAAATGGTCAAATGAATCCTGTGTTTTATGTATAAAATTGCTATACCGGTACATAGGGAAATTTTTTTGAGAAAACTGACCAATGAGTTAATAATACTCAAAAATAGTGATCATTGTTACAAATGAAATAGCAAAAATTGCAAACTAGACTCAGCTAAAAAGCTGAGCTTGTAAACAGTGAGGGCAAAAACATTTTGTAACTATCATAAAAGTATGTTGATAAAATTTGATCTCTGATGTCTTTGTTTTTAAAATTGTATGTTTTTCGTTAAAATAAAAAAATGTCTTTAACTACATGAAGTGATTATATGGCAAAGAAATTTGTAAAAAAAAACCTACCACCAAGATCTCAATGTTCAATTTACAAAACATTTGAAATGAATAATGTATGAATGATCCAAAGGTTTCAATCTACATGTAAAACAAATGTATAATTAAAATAATTAAATTTAAAATACATGATATAATATCACTGATATACAAATTTGAATGTCTATAGTATAGACCTGTAAGTGACGTTATTCAATATGGGAAATAAAATCTTTTAAACTTACAAAAAAGGACATAAAAATAGTTTTTAATTAGAAATTTTGTTCTGTTAAATTATGAATTTGATATAGATTAATCAATTACATCCAAATTGATATTTTTCAATTATATATTTACACTGTTGAATAAATTAGTTTTAATCAAACCAATTCCATTTTGTGTTCTTTGATTATTGTGATTATATCCATCAATAAACTTTCATTTTTTAATAGAAAAGCCATTAAGGATGTACTTAGGTCAGGTTTAGGAATTTTTGTCAGATGTTCCGACTCCTTGGTTTTTTTCCTACAATACAGGGTAAAATATTTGCCCCATAACACCCATTTATCTTTTCATACTAGACTTCAATAGTTCATAAAAGGTCATTTACCAAAATTTAAGCAAATAGAGGCTGGAGAAAACAGAAATTTCTAAATATCTTTTAAATGAAAAGTAAATTGTAAATATCTTTCAAATGAAACAATCTTGTTTATATCTAAAAAAAAAATGAATTGAAGATTTTTTGCATTTTATTAGTGACAATTGTTTGTTCTCATCTCTGTTATCAATGCAACTTACAAAAAGGCACCAATCAATGCAGGTGGATCTTAAATCTAGTTCATAGAGCATCCAATCAAAGTTAGATTGACCTCCCTCTCAAAAGCTACAGTACGATAATTATAAGGTCAATCAACAAGTTAAAATAAAATTGTTACATCTCTTTCATTCAATCAATTGTAATTTTCAATCTTAATGTGAACAAAATAAGGGGATAATTATTATGCTGTAAGTCCTCTATATGACCAGGTGGGGATGACATACTTTTGGGATGGGACATATAGGGGTAAAAAGTAGGGATATAGGATATAGAGGGTAAAAAAGTGGACTGTGGAGGAAAAAAGGGACCTGGAGAAAAAACTACCAAAAAAAAGAGGGATTTGGAAAACAAGCACCCTTTGTCACCCCACTCTAGCCACTGTAGTGTAAAAAAAAGTCAACAAAAAAGATAACATTATAGTGCCAATATTAAGTGTTTACCTCCCTGATTTTGTTAAAAAATCAGTGAAGAATGGAAAAAAGTAAACTATGTATGTAGCCAACAGTAGTAGAATTAAAAAACAAATTTCTTAATATTTCCGGTATGGTAAAAAATCAGAATAAATTTATGGCCAGTTTTTCTCTAATTTTTTTTAGTAATATGATTGATTGATTGTTGGTGTTTAACGCCACTTTACGCACTCTTGAATATTTCATGGCGGCCAAATTCTATTGATTGAGAAAGCTATGGTACCGAGAGAGCACTATTGACCTTCTGCAAGAAAACTGGCAATCCTAGTCAATATAGATAGAAGTCAAAGCACCTTGCTATAAGCAGGGTTCAAATTCACAACCTTAGTGTTGACAGTCAAGTGATCACTGCTGAGGAACCACTCAACCACATGTAATCTAAATTTTTCCCATTACCCAAATTGCACAGTTAGACTTAGAAAAGCACTTAAGGATGTACTTAGGTGAGGTTTAGGAATTTTTGTCAGATGTTAGGACTCCTTGGTATTTTTCCTATGATACATAAAATATATTTTGCCCCATAACACCCATTTTTCTTTTCATATAAGACTTCAATAGCTCATAAAAGGTCATTTACCAAAATTTAAGCAGATTCTAGATTTCTTTTTCTTTCGATTTGAGACCCAAATAATACCAATGCAAATATAAGGTAAAAGTCCTAGTCAGCCTTTTCACACCATTTAAAAAAAATTAAATATCTCGAAAAGAAGCTCCATAACCTATCAATATTTTTAGCTTATTTTGTTCCTTAACTACTGCTCTTCTGACTTATGGCATCAATTTTAGATTTTAGATTTTTGGAATTTCACCTAAGTACATCCTTAAATCTTAAGAAATCACACAAGTAAGCAAGATAACTTAACTTTTAAAAATATATCCTCAAGAGAGTGGTAATATGCTTAAAGCATATAAAACATTAATAAAAGATAAATTACAATTTTTCATGACCATATTATTTCTAAAATCTATAGACTGATAAGACCGTTAATCTATATAGTAAGAAGAAAGAGCTAGATGTTAAAAAGTTGCAGGTAATCAATAGAAAATGAAAAATTGACTTGATTTACAAGTACAGCCTAATTTCCTGACAAACTGCTGAAGAAAAAATTGACTCCAAATATGGAATGAAGTTAATTGATCTGTCAGTTCTAGAAGACATATTCTACTGGTGTAAACAACTTATGCTCCGAATATAGTCTTGATTTGATGATCATTTACCATTAGGGTTTTTAATCGTCATGTTAATTAAAAAATCAATGATTACAATTTTAAATGTTTTTTGTTTCCTTGACAAAAATTGCAAAATTGACAAAAATATAAAGCTTCATTTGATGAATTTCATCTCTAATTGCATTTTCTGCTTAATTGTTCTGCATCATTGCACATTTATTTCCGTAGCAGAATTGTTTAAACAGTTAAATTCCTCTGTAAATATCATAATGATATATTTTTCAAACTATTATTCTGCATGAAGGGAGAAATGAAAAATGATATGATATTCAAAATTCATTAATTTGAACATTAATCATTTTTAACTTCAACTTAAATGTTTATGCTGACAGAATCGTCAGAATTCAGTACTAAAAGAGAAAAAATAACACTTTCCCCTTTTACAAAAAGTATTTCATTACGAAGTACACAAATATATAATTTCTTTGTCTGGCTTTTTGATTTACCAGTACAATATTCGTAAATTTGCTTTCAATTTTTTTAGTACAAAAGTTCCACTATTTGCTTAAAAAAATTTCAACAAATTCTCTCATCTTACCAATGTCAGTTTTTATGGTCTTCCCCTTTTTAAATTAACCTTGGCGTTTGGTATTTTTATTATATGTGCATTTGGCCATGCCAGATGTACAAGTTTGCAGCCAAGTCTGGTCAGAATGGGGACGTTAAATCTGATGCCTCACGTAGAGAAAGTGCCACCCTCTCTGCATGTTTAAAACACTTGCAACAACTCTTTGAGGGGTCCGTCGGTGGCATGTTAGAAGGCAAAATTTCTGTCCCTGTCCAATATCTGTACATCCTCATTTGTAAGTGGCAGTCCAAATTTCACCCGACCTTCATCCCGGGCGACCTCTAATACAGGACCTATCTATTGAATATATTGTTAATTTGTTCTTGTCCTGGACATGCATAAAATATTTGCCACGTCCAGCAACCAACAATCAAGCATATCCTTTTTTTAATCATTTGAAAAACATCTTCATATAAGCTATACATCAACAACAACACAAATAACCAGAAGACATCTGTATATATTGATGATGCTGAACAAAAGTTATTCTTTTCAAATCAGAATTTCCTCTTTCCCCTTTCCATGAATTACTACTTGCATATATCAAAGTTGCATTCAAATCTGACCCTGCATATGATCTCACATAGTATGTAACCTGATGCTGTCAATTAATGATTTGCACAAAATATGAAATACAGCAAGTATGTTTCCCACAAATAAATAAAAGAAGAATGTGTCTTAAGGACATGAATACCCCGGCTCAAGCTTTGCAATTTTCCACTTTGAAAAAGGGCATAACGTTAGAACAGTAGATATCTCACTACCCAAATATCGAACTCTCTCTACTTTATGTAGTTTTAAGCATTGTGTATGAGTTTCATAAAATTTGGGTGCGGCAAACTTAAGTTAGAGTGCAGAAACAAAACAATTTGCAATTTTCCAGGTTATAAAGGGGCATAACTCTAGAATGGTAAGAGACTCCCTTCCCAAATTTGATCTCTGTCTGCAAGTTTTGGTTCTTAAGTAGCTTGTGTATGAGTTTCATAAAATTTGCATGAGGCAAACTTAAGTTAGAGTGTGGACCCAAAAATGGGACAAATGGAAGGACAGACAGACGGACAGTGAAGGGTAAAACTTAATTCCCTCCTTGCCTACGGCTGGGGCATAAATATATAAGGAAATAAGGTCTTGTGGTAGGGTTCTGGACTGGACTTAAATGAATAATTTATGGTTGATGGGGTTAATTTACCTTTAAAAAAAGAAAATTCTTAGATTTCTGATCAAATCTTTATGGGTGATGGGTATAAGATACTAGATAAGATAAGAGCTTTTAACCAAAACATTTATTAATTTCTGGAATAGCGTTCACCATTTTGCTGCATAGTATACTGATTTTATACTTCACTAAGTAATTCATTCAACCCCCCCCCCCTCTTAATGTGCCTCATGCAATGCACCTTAAACATTAGGTAAAAAATAATCAAATATTTTCAAATCATACATGTAAAAAAATTTCAAAGATCATCCAATCAGAAGGACCATGATGCAGCATTTTCTAACAGGAAGTAGTTAATTTTCTACATTAAGTTTTACTTGGAATATTAAGCAATCATCTAATATGGTAAAATACGATTTTTGCTTGGAATCCTTGAAACACAACTGGACCTGTACAATTGAACATAAAACTACAAAGAATCTAGCGTAATTATCTCTTTTGAAGTATCATGAATTTGTTCAAATGATTAGAGCCATAAAAGAATTTATGTCTATATTACCTAACATGACAGAAGATGCCATGGCCAAAAAGCTGAAATAACATGCAATTTTGTTCATGTTACTAATTTAGATTTTAAAGTAGTTAGATGAACATAATAAAAAAATAAGGAAATGAAAATACAAACCACCATAATGAGCCAAATTTTCTAAAAAAAATATTCAAAATTCCAAGTTTCTGATTGAGGGATAAAGAGATCAAGAGATTAAGACATAAATTAGCCTATTCCTTATAAGCTTGTGGGTTCACAAGTTAAATCTGTTGACTTACAAAGCTTTTCTAAATGATAATTGTCAAATTGGTAACATCAGCTATTATTTGACAAACAAATTTCAGTTGGAGTTAAAAAACCTTTTGTTTTAAATTTGCTACTGATTATTCCTGTCCCAAGTCAGGAGCCTGTAATTCAGTGGTTGTCGTTTGTTGCTGCGTTCATTATTTTGTACATAAATCAGGCCGTTAGTTTTCTCGTTTGAATTGTTTTACATTTGTCATTTCGGGGCCTTTTATAGCTGACTATTCCCGTTTGAATGGTTTTACACTAGTAATTTTTGGGGCCCTTTATAGCTTACTGTTCGGTGTGAGCCAAGGCTCCGTGTTGAAAACCGTACTTTGACCTATAAATTTTGACTTGGATGGAGAGTTGTCTCATTGGCACTCATACCAAATCTTCTTATATCTATTTGCTCATTGTTGAAGGCCATATGGTGACCTGTAAGTGTTAATTTCTGTGTCATTTGGTCTCTTGTAGAGAGATGTCTCATTGACAATCACACCACATCTTCTTATTTTCATATATACAAATAGAAACCATGTCAAAGTTATGCTAAAATATGATGGATTTGTCCTTATGGAATTACTAAAATTTTATCAACTTCATTCAGGCATGAAATATAGGTCAAGGTTATTCAATTAAACAATGGTAAATCAGTATGCCCAGGCACAAGATACATCTGTGACTTCCAAAAGTAAATGTAGATGGATCTATATAAGGTAATGATGTAAACTGAAAATTAAATTCAATCAGACAGAACAAGACTTATAAATACTTGTTTGATTGTCTGTGTTTAAACCATTTTCAAAACATATGGTGGCCAATTTTCATCGGTGGAGGAAGAACCTCGAAAAGAACCAATTACCTTCTGTAGGAAAACTGGCAATCCTAGTAAATAAAGTTGGGAAATGAACGCACCTTGCCAAATTGGGGTTTGAACTCACAACCCTAATATTGAAAAGCTAGTGACCCCTCTGCCTTTGAGGCCCCAACTCATAGAGACACTGAGATTAATCTATTCACAAATGAGTATTGCCAAATTGGGGTTTGAACTCACAACCCTAGTGTTGACAAGCTAGTGACCCCTCTGCCTTTGAGGCTCCAACCCATAGAGACACTGACATTAATCTATTTACAAATGAGTATTGGGCCATCATAAACTTATTTTTGTTCATTCGTTTTCTTCCCATCTATTTTTTGCATGTTAAAAATAACAAAAATAAAGAACCACCACTCTAAACTTTAAACTTTCTCTTGTATATAAAATATGAAGAAACTAGTGATGAATCTGAAAACGCATCACACGGTATAGCCAACTTATATAAACCCTGAAACCCAATTTCAGAAATCCTTGTATTGTAGTTCCTGAGAAAAATGTGACAATAAATTTTCATGGGACGGAAGGACGGACTGACAGACTGACGGATGGATGGATGGATGGATGGAAGGACGGATGGATAGACGGACGGACAGACAGAGGTAAAACAGTATACCCCCACTTTTTTTAAAGCAGGGGTATAAAAATAAATCTCTTGCTGATAAATAACTCCAATAAATGTGTGAAAATTGTTTTCTCATAAAACTATTTTAATTGGATATAAATAAGATGCATGCTTTGACAAATTATCTTTAGAAACATTCATAAAGGACAACAAAACTCTGACTTTCATCTTGGAAAAAATCTATATATTCTGTATAGGTGCATTTATTCCTTTTAAAATATATATGAAAGTTCTTAATGAAGGCAAATTCAACAGGTCAAATATATAACTATGAGTACATAGAAATGTTTGTAAAATTATTTTTTCCTAGAAATGAAGAAATATAGAAAAAGACTTATCACACAGATAAACTCAACAAAAGAAACAATACTCCTAAGCTTATTTGATTAACATCAAAAGAACTTTACTTTCTCTCTGATTAAAATCAGATTGAAAAAAAAGCGGTTTATTGAACTAATTTGTCATTTACTGGCAACTGAAGATGAATCTTGGTCAATATAAAGCAAAGGAATAGTCGTTTAACTCTAAATGTCATTTGACAGAAATTAATTAATTAAACTTTTAGGTCATCCCCTATATCAAAAATGTAAATACGATAGATTTATAAATTACTTGAAAAGAGACCAGTAAAGATTTCCATTGATTTTTTTAAAGTGCAAATGTGACTTTTTCAGTGGCAGAAACCTTATGTTTAACTACTTTTCTGGTTTTGCCAAATACAGGATAATAAAATCTTTATTTGTAGCAAGAAAATATACTTAAGTACATTTAATAGCAATACTTTTATAACAAAAACAGAATTATGTGTACTTGGATATTAAATAGTAAATTGTAAATTGAAACCAACAAATCAACAAAAATTTCACACTTTTCTTAATTCTTAAATACCAAATTTACTTTATATTTATAGTATATTTGTGTCATTAATTGGACGTTACATGAACATAAATCTTATAATGCTATCTAGAAGCCACCTACGGACCCAATTTGAAAAGATGATACAATTGTAGTACCAGTATTTTGAATAGTAATTTTTTAAATCATATATCCCATAATGCGTCAGTAAAATATACGTACAAGTAAAAAACTTCCCACAACATAACCGTGAATATACTTACATGTACACCAACTTCTTTAGAGTTGAAGTTAGCATGTGTCCATTGATCCGCATGGTACTTCCTTTGGAATTTTGTGATCGTCCCTGCTCCACGGATTGACACATCATTGGTATGGAATGCTGAATCTATCACTAACTTTCCATCGTAAACCAGACAGGCATCATTGATTGCTGTGAATTACAAAATGAAAATAACGCTGAACAAATTTTGTGCATCAAAGCGCTTTTTTTGAATTTACCTTCATCAGGAAAGCTCAAATGCAAACATTTAAAACCAAGGGATGTATAAATATGTAAAAACTAAAGAAGCTTACAAATTTCCCTATATATCATATGATTACTCTTTATTTTTTAAAAGCACAATAAAATGTTTTGAAATTAAGCAAAAATTTGCAATTAGTTTGTTTCACTGTCAAGAATCAAATTAAAAAGTTTTGAAAACGCAAATAATTACATTGAGTTTCAAAAAGTTAAATCAAAATTAAAAGTAAAATATTTGTCATTGTCAGTGATGATATCTATCAAATGCAGGTGGAGAGCAGGAAACCTTTAGTTTTAAACCTTTAGTTATCAACCTTTAGTTATCAAACTTTAGTTATCACAGCAATATGTTTGCCAAAATGAAATTTTTACCAATATTTCTCAAATAAATTACTTACATCTGAATGCTTCAAAATCAACAGCTTTCTTGTAGTAAGAGAAGAAGGCCTGAAAATAATAAATATTTAAAAGATAAGTAAATACAAGTTAATAACTAGAAAATTAACTGTCAGCAAGGGCTCTGCTGGCACATTCTTGTTTGAAGCACATAAACAAATGATTGATACTGATGCAAACAAAGAAATATAGCATATGTCTACCAGCAAAAGATTGGCATAGCCAAGTTATATTGCATAGTTTCATCTTGATTAGTTATCAGTGTGTAAAAAGTTTTGTTTCATCCAAGTTCTAAATAAATATTATAAGGAAATTTTATGTTATGTTAAGAGTAATGTTGTTTCTCAAAATGCTGACTGCCATTTTTAAAAATGGTGGCCAACTAATTATTTAAAAATATGAACTCAGATATATTTTTTGACAGCAGAAGTGAGTTCATGATATCAAATATCAACCTAAATATTAAATTAAGTTGAAACCCAATTAAATTTTGACACCAGGATATTATTCAGGATATCAGGTTCTACATAGATATCTAATTTCTATAAAATTCAAGCACCATAAAAAAAAATTAATTTGACAGCTATTTTCAAAAATGAGGCAGATGTATAATTTTGGACAAAGGCAATAAACTTGGAATAGCATATGTTATGCCTTTGTTTCAATTTTTCCTTGAAATCGCTAGAATAATAAGATGATTCTCAAAGTAGATGATTTTTTACAAAAAACTAAGTTACCACAAATTGAATAATTTTCTATGACAGGAGCTAATTTGGAAAAGCATATTATAACGTTATTTCCATTTTAGTTGAAAGCCTAGAATAATAAGATGTTTCTACACATTTTGGATTTTTTCCCCCAATTTTTACAACCAATTTTTTGTTCCAATGTTTACAAAATATCTAAATCATCAAACACAAAAGAATTCAAATATTGAAAATTTGGAATAGTTATTCTATAATTTTATTTGTCTATTTTATACTTATATTTATGTCCTTCTTAAATAAAAACTAATACTTACACCACATTCTAACCGAGTAGGTTGTTTATTGGTTGTGAAGCTGGCAGATGAGATTTCAGTGCAATCATCAGCCCCATCATTCCATTGAGCCAGAACATGATCACTATATACATGTACACCACTGCTCTCAAGAGATTTCACAACTGTACTGTCAATTGCTGGGTTGTTAAAACATGTGGCCTGCAATAATCAAAGCAATTAAATACAATCATTAGAAATTAAAAATAACCCTTAATTATTGTGAACTATCACGTACTTTAATAACAAAAATATGCTACATTTTGCATAGGTACTGTAAATTCAGAAATATTTGCCTTCATTTATAATGGTCATTGTTGAATAATGGACAAAAATGTGTGTTTAATTCTTGCAATTTCAGGAATTTTGTCCACAAATAATGTTATCAGAATTTACAGTAATACAAATGGAAGTAAGTAGCCCATATAAGCATATCCAGGCTAATAAGCCTTTACCAAGCGTTCCTAGTGGGACAATGTCAAGGGCTAATATGGAAAAAGGCCATGTATGATGTATATATTTAAATCTCTATGTTTTCCAGCTACTTCATATTCCAAGAAAAATTGAAATCAATCCATTTGACGTTTCCATATCAAATTCTTTAAATTGATATTTTTTGTCCTAATTAAACAGGTGTTAGCCTAAACAGGATAAATTTTATAAAGACTGGTATTTTATATTTGTAAAGTGGATTGGGGTTGGCTTAATTTCCAGTGGCATATATTTCAAGCACGTTAAGGACAATTTCTTGTATTTTGGTTGAATACATATTTGTTCAGTATCGCAATATACAAACATATCAACTTAATGTATTATTAAAAACAAAATAAAATTATAAATAGTTTTTGTTATAATGTTTAGGGTACTGCATTGGAAATTTTATTTAGAGCTCTATGTAATATATCTTGAAGCCAGTAAAGTAAAAAGCAAAAACTCTTTAGTCAATAGACAATCATATAACAATGAAAAAAAATAAAGCTATTTGCAATATATATATAATAGAAGGCAAGTTTACTTTTTATTATACAAAATTTTAAAAATCCTATTACGGAGAATAATGTAGAAATGCATATTATTACTCAGTAGTTATCATGTAATTAAAACATATTCAATAAATCAATTTCAATAACTGGCACAATTGAATAAAACCTAAAATCATTCAAAAATGGGAAGGGATTTTTTTTTTCCATGTCATTAGGTTGAAATTTGACATAAATCTATATGCGTGCACATTTAACTTGCATTATGACAAACAAAAAAATTCAATATCAATTTAAGTTGATGTCGGTAATCAATTTCACCCTGAGATTACATTGTGTAAAATCATTGAAAATAATTACTCTCAACACAAATTAGCAGAACCACAGTTTAAACAAGTACAGTGACTTTTCATGTATAAAATATATTTCAGAGTAAAACTTTACAAATTTGGAATAATTGAGTACAAAATATCCTCTTAAGGAAAAAAATTCTGGTATCAGATGTGGATCCAGGATTTGAAAAAGGGGGGGGGGGGTTACATATTTGGGTTAATGCATAAACTTCTTACATGTTCTACTCCTAACGTTGCCTAGTTTGTCCCCCCCCCCTTTTTCTGGATCCGCATCTGATATCAGTAGCTGAATTAGTGGTCTTGTGTGTGGGAGGTTGTGGATTGGATCCTACTAAAAGATTTTGTCAGCTTTTCTACCAAGAATGCAGATATAAGATTTAGAAAAAAAATTTCAGTTCTATATTTTGGTTGAATAGTTATTGACAAATGATTTAGTCTACCCAGAGAAAAAAAATATGCTTCCAGGAATCCAGGTAGGGTGAAATGTTTTCCTGCAATAGACTATTATCTTGCAAGCTGTCACGTTAAAAAAAAAACTATTTTAAAAAGCAGGTTTAATATTCATAATTTCATATCATATTTACATCCTGAATATGCATGTAAAATAGAAACATTAAAGCAGCCATCAATCGATCATGTAATATCAGTATGTTTTTTTTTCTTTTAAATTGATATCCGTATTTGTCATACATATATACAAGAGTGCACACGCTGAAATGTCTCGCCTACTATACAGTATACTGACCATTGATTTAACACCGAGAAAGACGTAGAAATATCTGAATGTTTGTACTTAAGCAAGCGTAAAATCATTTGTTTCTCGGAACAATGCTATACTGAACAGAACCATTTACGACACTATAGAGACAAAAGGTCAACAATTTTCATCATCTCTACCTATGTTTAAAGATAGGAAGACAACATTTAAACGTAAGGAAAAATGCAAAAATTATGTCATCTTGTGTTTTTGAAATCAACCGTCCGCTTGCACGGGATTCGAACCGTTACCCCCTTTCATCGCATTGCTATCTGCATTGTGAGCGAGAACCTTATCCCCACTGCTACCGGAGAGATCATCAAATAATGGCAATTTAAGATATTTAAACTAAACATGGAAAATGATTAAACTATATGAAATAATTCAGTAAAATTTGAATAAAATAAGGGGGGTCAGCACATGCAGATGTGTATAACTTACAGCTTAAGGGTATTGGGAAAAGTAACTGAGTTTTATAGATCACAAGTCTGCTACCAATAATTATATATGCACACTTTAGAATTTGGTAATTTTTTCGTTGTTGTACCTTTTTGCATGGACTGGCTCATATAGGTGATATCGTCGAAAGTCAGTACCAATTAAGTTAAATAAGTGATTTTGCCATAACTTTTAATTGAACTCAATATATCTTAGATGTGTTTTTTGCAAACTATATGTTTTGATAGATGCCAAATCCATTGGAAACGGTTTCAAATTATTGCTAGATCATTGGAAATAGGGACTTTTTGCTGATTGGTGTGTGGTTGTTAAGGGTAGAATTTTAGTTGCTATGGATAATTGCTTTTTTTTTTTCTTCAAAATTCGCATAAAATCATAACGGTCGATATGATGTATTATGAGTATTTTCTATTTCCTATCTTTTCGGCAATTTTTTTTTTTTTTTTTTTTTTGTCACTCAACTTGAGTTGAAAATGATATGAGCAAGCCCATGCGAAAAGGTACAAAAAGTCCTTTTTATAAACTTTACAGGACACGTTCGTTAGAATATTTTTGAAAAACGATTTTTATCAGAAAAAAAATATATTAATGTTGATAGTCCTACACATAAAGTTTTACTACAAGTATCACATTAACATTCATGATCCAAGAAAATGAGGTCAAGGTCAGATAAACCAAGCCGGAAATACATGTACACCTTTATTACAATCCCTCCATACACAGAATATAGATGACCTATTGCTTATAGTATAAAAGAAAATGACCAAACCATGGAAATTCTATACTGACCAATGAACCATTAAAATGAAGTCAAGGTCATTTGAACCCTGCCAGACAGACATGTACACCTTAAAATCATTCCCTGCATCAAATATAGTTGAACTATTGCTTAAGGTATCTAAGAAAAAAAGTTAACCAGGAAAACTGAACATTGACCAATCAACCATGAAAATGAGGTGAAGGTCAGATGATACCTGCCAGACAGACATATACACCTTACAATCATTCCATACACCAAATATAGTTGACCTATTGCTTAAAGTTTAAGAAAAACAGACCAAAACACAAAAACTTAACATAAGCAATGAACCATGAAAATGAGGTCAAGGTCAAATAAAACCTGCCAGACTGACATGTACATCATTAAATATTTCCATACACCAAATATAGTTGACCTACTGCATACAGTATTAGAAAAACAGACCAAAACACAAAAACTTAACATTTAGCAATGAATCGTGAAAATGAGGTCAAGGTCAAATAAAACATGCCAGACTGACATGTACATCGTAAAATATTTCAATACACCAAATATAGTTGACCTACTGCATACAGTATTAGAAAAACAGACCAAAACACAAAAACTTAACATTGAGCAATGAACCGTGAAAATGAGGTCAAGGTCAAATAAAACCTGCCAGACTGACATGAACATCGTAAAATATTTCCATACACCAAATACAGTTGACCTATTGCATACAGTATTAGAAAAACAGACCAAAACACAACAAGAGTGCACACACTGAAATGTCACGCCTTCTTTACTAACCATTGATTTTATGTTGATAGTCCTAAATATAAAGCTTTACTACAAGTAACACATAAACTTAACATGATCCAAGAAAATGAGGTCAAGGTCAGATAAACCAAACGAGAAATACATGTACACCTTACAATCATTCAATAAACCAAACATAGTTAACCTATTGCTTATAGTTTCTAAGAAACAGTCTTAACCAAGAAAACTTAACATTGACCAATGAACCATGGAAATGAGGTCAAGGTCAGATGAACCATGCCAGACAGACATGTACACCTTACAATCAATTTATGCATTAAATATAGTTGACCTATTGCTTAAAGTATCTAAGAAACAAACTTAACCATGAAAACTTAACATTGACCAATGAACCATGAAAATGAGGTCAAGGTCAGATGATACCTGCCAGACAGACATATACACCTTACAATCCTTCCATACAACAAAAATAGTTGATCTTTTGCTTATAGTTGTAGAAAAACAGACCAAAACACAAAAACTTAACACTGAGAAATGAACCGTGAAAATGAGGTCAAGTTCAAAAACCTGCGAGACTGACATGTACATCATAAAATATTTCCATACACCAAATATTGTTGACCTATTGCATATAGTATTAGAAAAAAAGACCAAAACTCAAAAACTTTACTTTGACCACTGAACCATGAAAATGAGGTCAAGGTCAGTTGGACATGTACACCTTACAATCATTCCATATACCAAATATAGTAGACCTACTGCTTATAGTATCTGATATATGGACTTGACCAAGAAAACTTAACCTTGTTCACTGATCCATGAAATGAGGTCGAGGTCAAATGAAAATTGTCTGACGGGCATGAGGACCTTGCAAGGTACGCACATACTAAATATAGTTATCCTATTACTCATAATAATAAAGAAATTAACATTACAAAAAATGTTGCCTTTTTTTACAAGTAGTCACTGAACCATGAAAATGAGGTTAAAGACAATGGACATATGACAGACGGAAACTTCATATCATAAGGCATCTATATACAAAGTATGAAGCATCCAGGTCTTCTACCTTCTGAAATATTAAGCTTTTAAGAAGTAAGTTAACGCCGCCCCAAGGGCCGCCGGATCACTATCCCTATGTCGAGCTTTCCGACAAAAACCAGTCATTTTTCCACCACAGCTATGAAATTTTTTTGTTCATTTTATTTTAAAGAAATTCAAAAGAAATTTGTTCATTCTCTTGTCTGTTTTCTAAACACATAAACAAACAACTTAAAAAACAATAAAAATAATAACAAATAAATTTGTATGTCACAGAATGTCACTGATACTCACAGCTGAAAACACAGATTTCTTGAAGATAAAAAAAAATTGAATGGAAACGTAATTTGATACATGTATGACTTTTATAAAAATCCTGGGAGTATACTGGATCAAAGAGATAGAAAGAAGATACCTAGCTTACAATAAAAAAAACATAAAAAAAAGACATACTCCAAACAAGAATGTGTCCATAGTACACGGATGCCCCACTCGCACTATCATTTTCTATGTTCAGTGGACCGTGAAATTGGGGTCAAAACTCTAATTTGGCATTAAAATTAGAAAGATCATATCATAGGGAGCATGTGTACTAAGTTTCAAGTTGAATGGACTTCAACTTCATCAAAAACTACCTTGACCAAAAACTTTAACCTGAAGCGGGGCAGACGGACGGACGGACGGACGGACGGACAGACAGACGGACGAACGGATGCACAGACCGAAAAACATAATGCCCCTAGGTGGGGCATAAAAATAAGTACTGAGCAGGACACTTCCAACTAAAATCCAGGAGTGTACTCTGGTGCTCCTTCTCTGTCATACAACACATCAAGTTGAACAAACAATGTAATATATTTATATAAAATATATATATATATTATGTAAACAGTTCCAGTGTCTCCTATTCTAGAAGTTTACAGTCTCTGAAACTTCATTCCATTCAGTATTATATATATAACTTGTTTCAATCAAGTGATAAAAACTTGGATTATAGATCAAATCTAGCCCTAGTTAAAAAAAAAATGTCAAAGGACTTCATCCACCCTTTTACACATTTTGAGAATAATCAACAACAAAATTGAACCAGAACTTCATTTTAGCATTATGAAAATTGTGGATAAAGTTAATAAAAAATCTTACAGCAAACCTGATGTATTGTATGACATAGAAAGATTTTACAGCATGGACTATCAATGGGAAAAACACAAAAACATTAGTTTTCAATTAACGTATTTACACTTTTGATATTTAGCTGAATTTTGTCTCCGAATGACCTTAGATCTGTCTCCGTATAACCTTCTGACGTCAAGCAACAATCAATTTTCAATAATGAAGTCAATTTTTTTAAATTGTGATGTCAAATTTTAGTGGAACTTGTGTGATTTTAAGTAATGGCAGACAAATTTGCATACAAGTGTAAATACGTCTATTGATCAAACATTCAGTCATCTTTCCGTCATAAAAACTCTCAAGCTCATGAGCTGTTATCAATTCAAATTTCAAACTTTTGTGAAAATTGCATTACAAATACACTTAAATATAGAAATCTACTAATAAAATCACTGTTTTTATTTTTTTAAGAAATCACACCTTGCCTATGTTGAGAGTATTACATTGAAATAGGGAGATTGTTGGTGATTTAGAGTGATTATTCTCTAATAGACCTAATCACTATTTCGGAATCTGTAACACTTGAACCCATAATTTGCAACACTTGAAACTATTGACGTCATACAACAATCGCTTTTGTTTTGTGGCATCAGACATTTTCTCTTATGACGTAAATTCTAAGGGAATTCTAAGGGAATGTCTGTGGAGTTCTGTAATGGCTGACAAATAGCAATAAGGTGTTTTCCAACCTTGTCATATATCTCTTGTATATATACAAAGAAATATTTCAGTGAATCACCCACGATCACTAGCATTCACTGTAAAAAAAAATCCCCCTACAGAGTGATTTTAACAGAGTCCCCTTGTGAGTATTGTAGAAGTGAACACTAGCTAAAAAATCACATCAAAATTGAATCTAAAGTTGTTCTTGATCACCAAAAAATATAAGTAAGTAGTGTGTATCTAATGCTAATAGATCTACAAACAAATGTCTTATACTATGTAGACTAACCTGGAATGGTAACGGAGGTTGTACCAAATGAATTCTCTCCCCTGGAACACCCATGGTAAGTAAAGTCTGTGCACAACAGAAAGCATCTAAAGTGCTTCCATAAATAATCAAATTTCCTAAAAGAAAAAAAATACTTAATAGTCTTATTTAAGTCGGGCATTTTCTTGAAACAGACAAGACCAGGTAGCAATAAGTCAAAGTCCATTGAGATTTTATAAAAACTTATTTAAAATAAGCATTTTTGTCAAAAGATTATTTACTCTGATAATCTGCAAAATTAGTATAAACATTTTGTCCCATTAGTTTATACTTCTCCCTACCATATGCCATTCTATCTTCTACAGTCTTTTGCCATTTTTTCCCCTTGCTATGAAATGTAACAATTGTATCTTTCAAAACTTAGAGTGAATTTAAGATCAATTAGACACATACTCTATTTCAATATAACATGTATAAGATGACTTAATTCTGAATTTTCATATTTCTTGATTTTTTTTTTTTCCTTCTTAAAATTGAAAATTTGGTAATTTGGTAATTTGCTTGTAGATTTAAATTTATGTGGTAAAAAAAGAAATCAGCTGATTTTTTTTTGTTTTTTTTTTTTTTTTTTATGAAATCTAGCCATGTATAAAATACAGATTTAGATACTTACTTTGTGATTTTAACAGGTAATTTTCTATCCAGTAGAGAGCTACAGCAGCATCATAAGCATCATTTATCGTAAACAAATTTTTAGGTGGATTTTTGAAATATCTCCTGTCTGGTGGGTTTGGTAGTTCAGCATTAGTGACTCCAGAGTCAAGATCGGCATCTGTTGGTGCTGGGATTTGATATTGAAGTCCAACACTTATAATAAGGTGGTCATATGGCACCACAGTCCCATTGTTTACAATCACTAATTTCTTTTTTCTATCTATATTTGTCATTTTACCGTACACAACATTAATCCAAGTCCGCAGAGAAATATTGGCATAGTTTTCCTGCCCATAACAGAAATCGTTTCCTAACATCTGATCCCTGAGTTCATCAGGAGCCATCTCACCTGGTAATCCATGGGGTGAAACCAATGTTAAGTTGTTAAATCTTAAATGAGGACTGAAAACAGAGAAAAGGGCAATATAAATCAACAAGGGAGATAATAAAAGAAATTTTTTTTAAACCTAATTCAAAACATTTATATGCTGTTGATTGTTCCATTGTGTTTTAATTCAAAGTGATTGTAATAAAGAAAATTATTGGGGAATCTTGTAAAATTAAGAAAATCTATGGTGATTCATGTAAGATTGTTAGGTTAACTCTCATGAAATATCACAACTTTTTCTCATTTTTTCCCCATTTCAATATCATCATGGTCATTAAACATAGTGCTGTTGAAGACTGTAAGCTGACTCTAGTGTTTTGGTTTTATGTGTTATCGGGTTGCTGTCTCATTAATGTATACCTCATATTTCTTATTCAATGTGTAAACATCTTTTAAAGACCTGTGGCTCTTTTCACAAAAAATCTTTCAGTATAACTTACGATAAATTTTAAACTTGAGTTACCGTGCAGCAAATTATATCATATTACTTCCGTCTTTGAGTAAAAAATTATGTTGAACGGAACTGTACTGTTTTTGTTTTAATTTTTTCTAAAAAAAAAAAAATAAGTATGCAAAAAGATTAGAACTACTTCTTACCAGTATGCCAACTGCTCCAAAAATCCTATACCAACATTGGATGCACCAACAACAACTATCCTGGCATTTATTGTTACCTTGATAATAAAATGTAAAATATGTTAATTAAACTGTTAACACAGAGATATGTCTCGCCTATTTGTTATTTTGATCATGCAAATGTTGAAATTAAAATTACAATACTTTAACATGTAAGTTATGCAAATAATCAAAGTCAATGAACCATGACTGAATGTACAGGGCTAAACAGTCTCCATGGAAATGAGATGTGCCAATGCTAATACAACTGCAAACCAAATACCATTGACTTTTCATAAGTCGTTCCCTTTAAACAAACCTAAACACAAACATTAGCTTGTAAACTATGTAAAAGTTTCAAAGTCAATGAACCATAATTAGGGGGTGGGGTTATATAATCTCCATGGAAATGAAACTTGCAAATGCCAATACATTTGCATACTGAATATCATTGACTTAACATTAGTGGTTCATCTTAAACTGACCTAATCACAAACTAATACATGTAAACTAAGCAAAAGTTTCAAAGTCAAGGCGAGACAATTAAATCACTCGTAAATGAAATAAAAATATTATTGTTTTGTATTTGAATACCTACTGTATCACTTGTTTCAATGATTCTTGCATTTCTATTTTAGCAGCAAATTAGGAAAAACTAAATAGTAACTTCAAAGATAACTAAGTCAACTAAGGGATATTCAATTTAAATATCCCCTGAATTAAAAAGCATAAAATTGCTTCTGTGGGTGGCTATTCAATTTTCAGTGTGCCTTCATAAGGTAAGGTTGCATGTTTTCAAGGAAAAACTCTGATTTCATTTGTGCTTTACCGGTACTTCATATCTTTTGAAAGCACACTTCCCAACAAGAAAATTTTCCTGATGTCAAAAGTTCTTATCCCCCATAATAAAGCTTATAAAAATAAGCAAAAATTCACTTATACACAGGAAAGCTCCACTTTCCTATATTCTTACAGTGGATTATTTTGCAATTTCAGGTCCAAAACCTATTTGCAAGGTTATCTTTTCACTTTTTTCTTGTCTATGATTCTTATGTTTTTTTCAAAATAGAATTTAAATGAGGGGATATTTTTACAGTTTCCTCTTGATTGCAAAATAAGCAAAAATACATTCCTTGTTAAAATTTCCCATTTTCAATAAATAATTTTATATTCTTTGAGTATCAAATAAAGGATACTACATGTCACTATCTTATATCATGCTCAATTCCAACTTTGAAGTTTCTGTTTTAACAAATAAATTTACCTTTGGTTCTAACACAAGTTTCCTGTTGACGTGATTGAGAGCATACGGTTCCTGCTTTTTCAGCACTCTGTCTGAGGGAGCATTTATTGATAGTTGTTCCAAGGGGTAGGTAATTTGTCTCCTGGCTCTAACTGGTACCATGTCATTTAAACTGGTAACCAGAGAATGCTGATCTACAGCCTAATAAAGAATTAAATTAGTTTTTAAAATGTTTATAAAAGAAATACTGTTTCAAATATTATACAGTGAAAACTGACTAAACAAAATGGTACCTAGTCATTTCGCACCATCTAAGAATACATTTTGTACCATAAATTAGCCATTTCCTGCCATGGAAAAATAGCATAAAATAGTTGGTCTGTATGGAATAAAAAGACATATATAAAAGTGTTTTGATATAATATCAAATGGCATACATATAGGTCTTCCATTTGGTATGAAATGATTTTTGTTATACCATGAATAGGTTATGGTACAAAAAAACTTTAATTCAACCAAACTCCTGCTATAATGAAGATTTTTTTCAGACAAGTCTTTTGTGTACTCAAGTTAAATTTCTTATCAATATTCACTCAATGTACTGATACAGAGCTCAGTGAACAATTTTGCTATCCAGGGTTCAGTTGACAGCAGTTTTCACCATATGATAGAAATAAGAAGATGTGGTATGAGTGCCAATGAGACAATTTTCCATCCAAGTCACAATGTGTAAAAAGTAAACAATTATAGGTCAAGGCTTGTTTATAAATATTGATTTCAAAGAAGAAGAATTATTTATCATTAAACATTTTTCATGCTTAATGTATGGTTAATTCAGAATTAATGGCAAACTTTTTTTAAATGTTAAGAAATTCAACCATTATACAATTTCTAATGATGTAGGTAAATTCATAATTTATTGTAAAGATCTTAACATGTAAAAGATTCAACTGGATGAGTATATGACGTCTAAATTTTTGTCTCGTCTGAATACTTTTAATTACATATATACAACTTTTTTGGCATCAAAATAAATAACTTTAGCCTTTCTCAAGTAATTTGGGATTCTCCCAAAATGTGCACATGTAGTATCCACAATCGACGATTTTTGTTATTATGTCACACCCTATTTCTAGCTATTGGTAAGGCAGATGCAAGTAACACGGATCAAAATCCGCTGTTCAAGATTGCAAAATTCATTTTACTGCAATGGCTAGATAGCCAATACAACTGTTTTCAAATAGCAATGGGGAACACAGATCCTATTGTATATGCCGTGCTGATAGCCGTATAATAGGGTGTGCATATTAAACTATTGACCTAAATTACAGAACAGATAATCTGAATGTTCTTAATTAAAAATTTCTTACCTCCTTATTTGTGTATGCTGGATACAGTGGGAAATATAAGCTGGTCTTCTTTCCTTGTCTTAAAATTTCCTTTATAAATAGAGAAATATCAAGTTAGTATGATGATGATAATGGATTGATGTTTAAAATCAGTGGCAATGATTGCATGCATATCAGGACATGATGGACTGATAGGCTGACCAGATTTTTAACATGCTAATTCACAGGGTATTTTGTTTTGAAGCAAGAAAAAGAGCCACAGCAATATTCCATTTTTATTTTCTGAAAGCAAATTATAAGAGTTATCTTCTCATATTTTATCTTAAAATTCTATCATTTAGTTTACTTACTAACATACAAAATTGGTTTTTCTGACAACCTGTAGCTTTAAAAAAAATTCTCAGACCCATACTTTTTAATATATTTTTGAAAAAAGGCATGATATAAACTACATTTTTGCAAATAATTAAAATTCTATCGATCTTATTTCAGACCTCTGATCTACCTTCATCACAAACATTGACAATTGTGATGCTTCAAATGCCAGAAATAGTACAATTTAGTCTCGCTTTCTTGAACAAATCTCAGATGAGACAAAATTAAAATTGATCTAAAAGCTATGGTTTTACAAAACTTGATAAAATGACTGATTGATTGATAGGTGTTTAACGCCACTTTCAGCACTACAGGCTATTTCATCGCTGTCAGTTTTTATTGGAGGAAGCAGGAGTGCCCAGAGAGAATCACAGACTGTCAGTAGGAAACTGACAATCCAAGTCAATTAAGATTGGAATCGAATGCACATATGAAATTATTTTGTATTTTGAACAAAATAAAAAGAATATTTAGCTAATAATACCAACCTTTATAAACATTTTGGACATATGTGTAAAAACAGGATTTAAAGCAAAATGATGAAGATGTCCATGCTCTTCTCTTTTATGATGATTGTAGTATATAAAGTCTTCAATGTTGTAATGTGATCTGATGTATTCTATGTTCTGAAAGAAAAGAAAGAGGTATGACAAAATTACTTTACACCTAGTCCATTTGTCAAATAAAATTTTGTATGTTTTTTTCTCTACATAAATAATAATATTAGTTTTAGCATCTTTGCAGATTTTAATCTCATCAGACAAGGTAATTTTCTTTCTATGACATCATTCATTGTTTCAAAGTTCAGGTCGAACAAGTTCTTCAGAGTTATTCCTAAAACCTTACAGCATGTCAAGTTTCAATCTAAATCCACCTTGTTAAGTTAATGAACACCTATAAGTCAAATAATCATACATTATGTGTTTAATAATACAGACAAAGTATCATCAGGACATGGAAATCTTTTTATTAGCTTACTGTGAAAGTACTTTTATTCGTGGGGCACCAATTTTCGTGGTTTTCGTGGATGGCTTTATAAACGAATTTAAGTGTCCAACAAAATTTAAATCTTTTTTTTTGTACAAATCAAGATATGGAAAGATCGTAAAAAGAAAGTAGGTTTGACTACATGGATAGGGGCATATAATCTAGAGTATACATCGAATTTCAGCAAACGCACTATGAAGTTTATATACAAATTCAGGCTGGATTTTACCCATTTAATCTTTAAAAAACCTATACACTGTACGACTCTTCACCTTTTAATTCTCAGGTAAAAATAGTTTTGATCAATGAAAGTCAGATTTCCAGTGATGATATGCCATGATGAAGTGTTCATTTTATCTCCTCATAATTCTCATACGGAAAAAAAAAAGGTAATATTAGGCTTGTTTTTCATTAGAATTGATTCTACAATTCAAAGTACATTTATAGCATTTATTTATGAAACCGTTTTCTTAAGGTGCAGGTTTATGGCCCAATTAACACCTTTGATGATCATTAATCTGTTGATCATTTGATCTTGGGTTAATTAATGTCATCACTTCTGATTACATGTGTGCAACAATTTAAATTTTCACTTTGCAATTTCTTTCAATCGAGACAATTTGTAAGCATAGATGATTCAGCTTATTTCCGAAAGCAATTGTTTAATTCAAAATTTGTTGCATGTTGTCAGTTATGAAAGACGAACAAGTAAATGAAAATATACACCTGTTTTTTTAAATGTTCACAAATCATTATAAAATAACATGATTATTTTCAGAAATCTGCATTTCCAATAGCTTCAAATTCTTCACTCGATCTTTTTTTCTTTCAGAAAACTAAAATCCACAAATTTAAAAACCCATGACCATGTAAATTTTGCTCAAACCACTAAAATTGATACCCACGAATATAGGTACTTTCACAGTATTAAAATGAGTTTCCTTAAACACTTTTATGAGATAATATAAAATACATCAAATGAATGGGAAAATAAAGATAATTTGTTTTTTTTATCTAAGCAATTAAAAGAATAAAAAATATGGTGGGAAATATCATCTCTTGCTTTATTTACTATCTTTTTCTGAAACAGACCAAATATATAATGAAGATCATACCTCTTCTCTTCTAATAACTGCCACTCCAACTATCTGGTCTTGACACTGAGCTACAAAAGCTTTAATTTCTGTTCCATCCTGAAAAAAAAATTTACCATTTCAAATGAACATATAAAAGTGTTAAAAGATATTTTGTTGAACAAAAGAAAATTTTGTTTTCTAGATACATGTATCAGTTGTTTAATTGACTTCACACCCAATTTTACTGTTTACCTAAATTTATTGTAATCTACATATAATAAAGATTGATCAAATGATTCCTGCTTGCTGAATGTCCAAAGAGCATGGCTATTATTCTGCATGAAGCATCAGATTTAACATCCCCATTCTGACCAGATTTGGCTGCACACGCTATACATTCTACACAGCCAAATGGACGCCTCACTATAGAAAGGGTTTTACAGCTAAATAGGAGAAGGCCATGGAACACCTTATCTCTATTCTCTAGAATTTGAGTCCATGTTAAAAAGAAGAAGTTTAATCAGAACAACAAAAACTACAATATAAAGGCAAACTTTGAAACCAGATCATAAAATCGGTAATATCTCTTTCATCAGACCAACCTTTCTGCACTAAAATTGTGACCTACGAAAATAGTAATCTGTACAATCATGAAAATTTAATTATGAATTATTATTCAAATGTTAGATGTTGGACTTGCATCTGGTAAGAAAAAAACTATTAGAATATTAATTGAAAATTCACATACATCATTTTTGTATTTGCATCTAAATTCTCAAACGCTTTTAAAAAAAAAACATTTAGCCGTTAAAAACATACTGCTGATCATGAACTCAGGTAAATCTTAGGTAAAAATCAACTATTCTGAGTTTATCAGCTAAAAAATAGTTTTTGTAAGTTGCTAACAATTTAAACAGAACTGGTAACTTCGACAGAAAATGGGTTAACAGGTAAATGACAAACTTTGATAACACCCTCCAGCAACTGAATATTGTTCATTAAAACAATTAAGTACAAAAAAAAAACAATAATGAGACTACTACTAATTACTTCATCAAAAGGTTTAGTTTACGTAAAACTTAATATAAATCTTGAAACAAGATATGCTTTAATCACAATAAATTTTTAATTAAAACTATTAACCAATATATTGATTTCTTTATTAAATTTTATAATTGCGGAAGACAGTATTGATGAAAGTATTATCTTCATACAATTTTCTATCTTTCCCGCTATAAAACATACATCCTTAACTATAAAGAACTGACCTCATCTCTCCTAGCTTTGTTGAACTGCTGGATATCTTTGATGAGATTATCATTCAGGTTAATAGTCTTAACGAGTTCCTCTATGCCTTTAAGATCTTTAGAACAGACTGGACGCACATGGAAATCTCTGAAGACATTAAATTATCATTAAATCATTTTTTAATTAAAAGTATTGTATCACAGGTTATATAGTCATTATAATTAAATCATAGTTAAAAGAAACTTGGGTTACTTTGCTTGTTCTTTTTTTTTCCAGAAAAGAATGGAAATGGGTTTGTGATTTTAATTTCCTGCATTTATTTGATAAAAAAGAAAATTTTCCAATTCATCAATAAAAATTACTTAATTAAACATAAGATTTTCTAAATTTAGATAAAAAAAATCTGAATAAAATCTGGTGATCTTGATTGTGAAAAATGTTATAAATAGATACATGGTTAAATACTGACTTCATTTAAGTAACTGTAATGGGAAGACAACTATTGAATACATTTAAGTAAGTAAAGATGCAAAAGTTCAACATGCTGGACAGACAACAGTATTTTTAAATATGTCCTTTCTTTGTGTATAAAAGGCTACTACGAGCAACTAAGTGTAAAACTTTATGTGAGTTGATCAAATAGTTAAATCTGCAGTTTCCTTTAATAGTATATATTATAAAATCAAATAAAATTTCCCTGTAATCCAAAAGGAATATGTTAAAAATGCCTTTTTTACATTCTTGTTCTGGATTATTCAAAGTAAGCGAGTCCAATGAACAAGCCAAATATTGTTAACACCCAAGCAATCATTATCAATGATATAACTTATCTAACCCTGAAAAATATTATTTAAATTCATAAAGGGTTTTTGTTTGAACATGCTTTACAGTACAAGTTTTCTTATATTATTATAAATAAAATAACATCCAGACATTTATCTTCAAACATGTAAAAAAATTGTGATGACTGCCATTTATACATACTTGAGAAGTCCTGATCTGTGGAACACATACAATTCTTGTGGCAGTGTGCTTGGAGATCTTGGTGTGATTCTCTACAGAAAAATATAAAAATTTAAATATAATCTGGAAAGAAATTAAACTCTGATATCGATATAGACTTAGTATTAATTCACTTTAATTGGTAACAATTTTCATTGATTGAGGGAAATTGTAATTTTCATAGATACTAGATTTCATGATTCTAATAAATTCCATTAATTAATCAATTTGTATTTTATCGAATACTTTAATACATGTTTCCACTATACACAGGTAAATCAACAAAAGTGAATACATAATGATTTATCAGACATTCACAAACAAGGATACAAGAGTGCACACACTGAAATGTCTCGCCTTCTTTACTAATCATTGATATTATGTTGATAGTCCTAAATATAAAGCTTTATCACAACTGTCACATAAACTTAACATTAACCAAGTAAACTAAACATTGACCAATGAACCATGAAAATGAGGTCAAGGTCAGATGAACCATGCTAGGCAGGCATGTACATCTAACAATTCTTCCATAAAACAAATATAGTTGACCTATTGCTTACAGTTTAAGAAAAACAAACCAAAACACAAAAACTTAACACTGAGCAATAAACCTTGAAAATGAGGTCAAGGTAAAAAAAAACCTGCGTGACTGACATATAGATCATAAAATATTTCCCTACACCAAATATAGTTGAACTATTGCATATAGTATTAGAAAAAAAGACCAAAACTCAAAAACTTAACTTTGACCACTGAACCATGAAAATGAGGTCATGGTCAGATGACACCTGCCAGCTAGACATGTACACCTTACAATCATTCCATACAACAAATATAGTAGACCTATTGCATACAGTATAAGAAAAACAGACCAAAACAAAAACTTAACTATAACCACTGAACCATGAAAATGAGGTCAAGGTCAGATGACACCTACCAGTTGGACATGTACACCTTACAGTCCTTCCATACACCGAATATACTAGACCTATTGCTTATAGTATCTGAGATATGGACTTGACCACCAAAACTTAACCTTGTTCACTGCTCCATGAAATGAGGTCGAGGTCAAGTGAAAACTGTCTGACGGGCATGAGGACCTTGCAAGGTACACACATAACAAATATAGTTATCCTATTACTTATAATAAGAGAGAATTTAACATTACAAAAAATCTTAACTTTTTTTCAAGTAGTCACTGAACCATGAAATGAGGTCAAGGACATTGGACATGTGACTGACGGAAACTTCATAACATGAGGCATCCATATACAAAGTATGAAGCATCCAGATATTCCACCTTCTAAAATATAAAGCTTTTAAGAAGTTAACTAACGCCGCCGCCGGATCACTATCCCTATGTCGAGCTTTCTGCGACAAAAAATAACAGCACAGGAATAACAAGTGAAACTGTGAGCTACTGCTCACTGATGATACCCCCACCCTAATATTTCGGTAAACAGGAAGTTGTTGAGTGATGAATCTGAAAATGCATCACACAGTATAGCTGACTCATATAAACCCTGAAACCAAATTTCAGAAATCCTTGTAATGTAGTTCCTGAGATAAATGTGGAGAAAATTTTCAACTACTTGGATGCCATGTGTAAAATAATGTAAGTGTTCGGTAAACAGGAAGTTGTTGAGTGATGAATCTGAAAATGCATCACACAGTATAGATGACTCATATAAACCCTGAAACCAAATTTCAGAAATCATTGTAATGTAGTTCCTGAGATAAATGTGGAGAAAATATTTGTGGGACGGATGGACAGACTGACGGATGGACTGATCGATGGATGGATGTACGGACAGACGGAGGTAACTCAGTATACCCCACTTTTTTAAAGAGGGGGTATAATAAAATGATGTGTTTTACAACACAATATGACAGCAAACCAAAACCACAAAAGACATCTTGAGATCAACATTATCCAAAAACATCTCCATACTTTCAATAATGTAACTTCTGATAGTTCTCATGACGTATAATGAATTTAGCATAAACAATGCCAAACCATTATAGTCAATCTTGAATAAACTTACCACAAATCCCTGAATTAATGGGAATTCTGGTACAAGATGAGGGACTGTAATGACACAGAAATCATACTGTGGAAACAACTCAAAAGCTGATGATAGAAAGTCTGATGACCTGGAAAAAAGACATTAATTTTTTTAAATTAGAATGTGCAACAAAACAGAAGTATAACTACTATACAATTATGTATTTTTTCCATATGGAGAGTCATTTCATGTCAATTTGATATAATACATTTTAGTTCATCAGCAGTCTTGTATAAATCCTGTTGTTATAATGCAATCATTTGTATAAAATATATAAATCAAAATATATTGCCTATGGTCTAAAACCATGGTATCAGTTTGGTTTCAAAGCCTTTCAAGAAAGATAATAATAACTACACAAAGCATAAGATTTTGTTATTTACTATGGAATCATTGTTTGATACAAATTTTCATTAATTTCATAGGTACAGGAGAACCACTAATTCAAATGTTCAACGAATTACAAATTTTTAACAGGCTTTTATTCAGACTTTTGCAAAACCACGAAATCAAATATCCATGAAAATGTAATGTTTCCTCAATCCACAAAAATTGGTGCCCACAAAAATAAAAGACCATAGTAAGAATTTAAAACATATATATGTCAATTTTAAAAAGTATTACAAACCTCATTTCGTATCTTTCATCAATACAGAAGAGCTGGATACTAAAAGCATTCTGAGCTCCTTTATATATTGGAACAAATCTTTTAGGCAACTGTGTCATTGGTGTAATAGGTTTGGGTGTTCCAAGACGAGATATTACCTGAAACATAAATTATTTCTATTATTAAAGCATTTACATTTTCAAACAAAATTTTTTTGCACTCAAACCACTGATATCTGAAAAATCTAAAAGGAGTTTAATGAGTTGCTACACTCCACGTAGAAATTAACCTACTTTACATGTAAGAACAAAGTAATGGGCAGGCAGGTTAAAAAAAGACAGTATACTGACTAATTTTATTGTATGGGCTATAAGTACAGAATGTATATGAGACGCTGAATTGAAAAAAAAGCATTCTGTCATTATTTTTTTTTAAATATTCAATTTCCATCAAGACACTGATCTCCAAAAGAAAATCATCAAAATATTAAAAAACGAATAAATTAATTCTCAAAATATAAATGCTGAAATCTTACTTCTTCCTTGACTGAACTTTTTCTACTAGACTGCCCCGATTGTACCCTCTCTGCTTCTTTAGCTATTTCCTCTCCTTGTCCCTCGCTTAGTAAAGATGTAGAACTTTCCCTCATGTGAGCATCACTTAATTTCTTCTCTACCTTCAGTTCACTTGTTGGACTTGTGGCTAAAAAAGAATAAAAGATAAGATCAAATACTTCATGTTGATCTCATTAAATCAAATATAGATGTTTCGTTGCATTACAAGACACAAATTAAAATGTAGTAATAACTTTTCTGTTGAATTGTTGGTAATTGCTCACACAGTACATGAAAAGATAAAATCATTTGTTTATTCAGAAAAACAGACAAATATGTTCCATTGCATCAAGGCTAAAAGAATAAAATTTTATGTTCCGAGTTACATGACCAACCCTTTTGTTTATTCAACTCATATTTTTTATATAACTATTATCATTATTATTTCATTACTTATATAATCATGAAAATTTTTAAAAATCTGGTTTATATTATCTGATCTTCAAAACTAAATTGTTTACTTTTTTTGTAAACACATTTTTGGCACAATTTCAGGTTGGAACTTAATGACATAACATCAACCTTTCCCTGTACATTATACTGGATTAAAGAATAACAATAATACCAAAAAAACACTGGAAATACATTTGGAAAGATGAACTTCAATTTGAATCCTCATATGTTGATAACATTCAAAGCTTACACAAATATTATGCTTTGATTCAAAAAGAAAAGTTTGGTAAAAAATTTAAAATCTGAATAATTTATCATACCCATTTCACTGTTTGTCATTTTTTTCAAAGGCCTATTGAAAACTATGATGTGGGCAATTCTAAGTTTAGTAGAGACAAATTAATCAATTGTCCTGCCACGTCTTTGTTCCGTTTAGCCCTATAATTGTTTTTGCAAAAAGGTCTACACACTAAGACAATAAATGCCACTGCTGCAATGGGAACAAAATGGATGACAATAGCTCATGTGATCCTTCACACAAGGTGAGCTAAAAAGTGGTATAAAGGCTGAAATAAAAGAAATGGAATATGAAACTTACCTCTTGAACTCTGTTTACTTGACTGTCTACTAGCTGATTTCTTTTCTGTGCCTGCATCTGTTGGTTCTGAAGGGGCACCATTCACTGGTGCTTCTTTAGCTGAGGCTGCTGACTTTGTAGAGGATGCTTTAGATGCAGGTCTTTCTTCTGCCAGTTCTACATAGAAAATAAATACATAAAAGTCACAGACATTAGACAATGAGATGAGGAAACATTACACAGATTTCAAAACACATTGAAAAAATATAATTTATCTGCCCCCTTAGATACTGTTGTCTTGTCTATTTTGAAGTGATTTATTTTGGTAATATTCTAACTTTGTTAATGTATACATACAATATGTGATCAAAATTTAACATATTAGTGTGGATTAAGATTGGCGTTATTTCCCTACATGCATAAGTCCAGAAATTAAGTTACTCAGTTTGTTCAAAAATATTTCATAGATTTTTTTATTTGGACATAAATAGACAGGGATCTTAAGTGGAATAGTGCTAAATGCTTAATTTCAATTTTATACTTAATAATACCATTATCTATATACAAACCTGGAGGAGGACTTGGTGTTGGGGTTTTTGGTGGGATCAGATCATCATCTTGATGTGGTTTCTTCAAACCATGGAAGGATCCTAACTCAAAACATTCATTTAGCATATCTGTGTTGACATCATTGCTTATACTCATAAACCCAACTGCTGTTCCTTCGACCTGTCAAAAATATAATTTTATGAGCTATTTCTTTAGCAGTAAAATGTGCCTAAAATTTTCTATTAATTGTGCATGTTTTAATAATGTTCTACACAGATATCCTAAAAATATGAGGAGAATAATTTTTTATGAAAATTTCTCCCTTTTAGGATAACAGAAAAACATTATAATTTTTAACAAAGTCAACTGTTTTGAACAGTTTTGATTGAAGCAAATGTTTTGACTTTCCAAGAAAGGAAATTTTTTTACAAATCCTTAATTCATTAGTGAATTTGTACTTCGTCCATAAATTATTGTAAATTCTACTTACAAAATAAATAGCTGTTCCTTTCAAATATTTATGGTATTTTAATAGACAAAATGTTTTGAAAATGGGAAAATTTGCCTTTGGAAACTTTAATAATCTCTCATGCATATAAAAGACTCCCATTCACAAAAGTAATTTCAAAATGCCTTTTTTTGTCATCAGCCTGAGTATACTTATAAAAATTCACATTAGTAATTTTTTTAAATTATATTGTTTTTATTACAACATGCAATGGAATGGCACTAAATAACTCTGAAAGAAATGTCTTTGAAAGCTTTAAAAAAAAATTAAAAACAAAATACCTCTGCTACTAAACACTGCATATGGTCATCTTGTGCTTCAATTAATTCAGCAAGGAAGAAATCACCATAAGCCATCTTCAGCATATCACTATGGCGATTAAAGATGGGCGTTAAGTCGTCATGGTCTTCAACACTGTAAAAGTCAATATTTCAATCAGAGAATTTAAAAAATTAAAACAATTAATCTTATAGGTAGGAAATCTGTTTAAAATGTTTTGACAGAAATGATTTTTACATACACAAAAAGAAATGTAAACTAATGGTTATATGGATGTTTCTATTTCAATCACACATTGTAAAAGGAAGCGATTTAGAATTAATAAGACTTATTTAGGACAAAAGAATAGAAGACAAATAAAACCAACCCAATAAAATCCAACTAATTTTTCAAGAAATGAAAATGTATGTACAATCATATCATCCCCTGCAACATAAATTCTACTACATACGTTGCCTTTCTGACATGAAGAACAGGAACATGGTTATGTCTGTAGCAAGCAAACAGTGCTCCTTGTGTACTGCTGACACCTTCTCTTTTCGGTAACTGCTGGAATACACCATCAAGTGAAGCATCTGTAATAGAATAGAATACATTATCATATCAAAATTACCTGTAAAAACACTACGGAAAGACCAAAACCTTTTTTTTGATATGTGTATAGTCTCCCGTTAGTGTACGAGTTGCTCTTGGGTAGGAATCCCACAAGCCGAATCAAATAGCTATGAAGACTTTGGCAAGATGAAATATTAAAGACAACTGATAAAATTGTACAAAAGGTAATAAAGAGCACACAACAAATCTGAGTGTTGTGGACTTCAGAAGACTAAATAAATTTTCAGATCATTCAAATGTCAAAAAAATGCTAAACCTTCCCAAAAGGGAAACAACTCTTGTAAAATTTGTTAGATAAAATGAAAGAATGTGTCTGAGGACACAAATGCCACTGCTCAAGCTTTGCAACGAAAATGGGACGGACAGAAAGATGCAAAGACGGAAGGACAGAAAGACAGACGATCAAGGGTAACACTTAATGTCCCCGTCGCCTACGGCAGGGGCATAAAAAGAGAATTGTGCAATAAACTTTTTTGCAGTTATAATTGTCAAGTATGCAATATTTGCGTTTATCGTTGTCATACATAAAATCATGTGCCAATTTTTCCCAAAATAAGTAAACCAATTTTCATGAATTGAAGAAAATTATATTTTCAGGGATACTTGTTTTCAAGGTGTAAACAAATTCTGCATACCGGGTACAAGCCTATTAAAGGAAGTCTGCATTTTGTTGAACACTTTGAATTCTTGGTTCACATCTTCCCTCTAGAAAATCCACGAAAATTAGTACCCCACAAAAAATTATGAATCCTCCCACAGTACCTAATTTAATAACATACCAGGATAAGCTTTCATTGGTACATTCAGGAATAAATAGTGTAGGTCAGGAACGGCATTAAATGCAGTACGGATTATCTCCCTTGCGCAACCACTGGCATATTCTTTTTTTGCAACAAAATAATGCATGTACAATGAATTTAGAGCTGATGTCTTTGGAGTGTCAAAAATCTTGTGAAACCATTCCTCCCATGTCGATGGATCAACACCTTCAATGTTTGGATAATCAAAGAATGCTGCATGGCCCAGGATTTCTTCTTTGTCATTGCATAGAGTAACAGCTAACACGGCTTTCTCTCTGTGAATAAGAGAAGAATAATAAAACCAATAAATTAGAAAAGTTTAGAATCAAATTACATAGAGTGCAATTGAAAATGTTTTTGTTTAAGGAATATTCCCAATTATAATTCTGAACCTAAACGATTACAAATCATTTAAAAAGTGGTTTAAGTATCATTTTGTATAAATATATTGAAACAAGGTGCTCAAATTGTTTTGTTCTCTTAAAGCTGATCAATATATTGGTTTTTATTTTTTTATTTATGGATGGATGAATGGATGCTTAACGATATACATATTCAGGACAAGAAGATGTTAATGTAATATGAAAATGAATCCTGCTTTGTACTAGATTGACATGCTCAGCCAGATTTTTAACATGCTAGTTCACAAGGTAACAGTCTGCAGGAAGACATGTCACCTTACTTGGACACATTATTCTGACTCCGAGCCGACCAGTCTTTGCTCTTACTCCTTAATGCTGTGTGCTTAGTGGAGCAGCAGCAAATACCAATTTTAAAAGTCTTTGATTTGACCAGCCTGGTTTTGAACCCACGACCTCCAATACTCGAGGCAAACAAACTTCCACGAGACCATCGAGGCGGTCTTTAATTTATGGAATACTGCTCTTAATCAATAAAAATTATGTGGAGCCTGCAAGGAATTGTTGTTTTCCCAACACAATAGGTAGAATCTCTATCAGTCAGATAAGATGATAAAAGTAATTCTTTCATGTTGTGGCAATAACCATGATAAGTTCAAAAAGTTGTTGGGTGATGTTAATTTTGAATATTTTTTTCTTGCATCTTAAATAATTTTACAATGCTATGTATAGCACACAATGAGTGCCACTGTTGAGATAGCATAACAATCTCTAGAATAGTATCAAACTGATTCATTATTCCTTACATTAAATTGACAACATTAACTCTTCCAAACAATTGGTCTGTTGAACTGTTCACAAGCTTGATTATGTGTGGTGCATCTAACGATTCTGTTCTCCTAGCATTTACAACCTCTGGGGGTCCATCCACAGGTGTAATTGTTGCCATGTTTTCAAGTTATGCAGAATTCTGGAAATAAATTAAATTTTAAAATGTATTTACACTGTCAAAACTGTAGCATAGATGCCAACACCCTTTTTGATGCAATCGGTTAAAAAAAATTGAGATGCCTGTAATTTGTGTTTTCAGTAATCATGGTAATCATCATTTTTCATAAAATTTTACAATTATCCTATAGAACCAATTGTGACTAAAAATAAAAACCTAGAGACCTCATAACTTTCAGGGAGGAAACTCAAAACACATATTATATGGGCCTAATAATTAAATAAAAACTGCAAAAATACTTTCAACAGATGTTAGTTCATTATGAGAAATATAATGGCATCTTTCAACACATTATATCATTATATCCAGGGCAACAGGAAAAATTCTGTTTTGTTGCTCAACAGAAGTTAAAACAAACAAAAAAGAGAAAAAAGAGAAACTGCAAAACATGACAAAAATATCATTCTTTCCAAATGCATATTGGTATTTTACTTTGTTCAGTTATTTTACCCCAGTTCTTTAGACCTCTTCTGTCTATAAATGATACTTGTCCTAGTTTAGGAATAAACTTAAAACATTTAAAAAGAAAGCATACAGTTTGGCTAATATTTGTACAAATGCATCATACACAGTGATAAAATCAAGAATGTGCATGCATTTTAAATCCTTGTTAATACAAAAGTCTATTTCATTTCAATTGGCCATGAATGCATGCACACATGTCCCCCTTTTCTATTAATGTTGAAAAACACAATAATGAATGATTTTTCCATATATATTTATATGCTCCTGAAGGGAGCATATTTAGTCAAAATATTAAGTAGGGTTTATACCACTATGTTACTAAAAGACATTCAACAACAAAGATCAATAAAATCCTTTCTGATATTTGTTTCTTTTCTGGATTTTTCGTAAAACATCATAAAAGAAGCATTCAATTTCCAAGGCTCACACTACTTTAGAATCATAGGGAGATGTGACTCCCTTTTAGAAACTGATAGGGAGAAGTGGTGAGACTTAAAAGAGAAGTGTTTGTTCGCTCACAGCGCTACAATGTTTGGTTTTATTTAATTATTTTTCATATTGTTCAATTCATACCTGAGAATACAATTAAAGTAACAGTTTATGTCTTAAATAATCATTTATAGTTACACCATTATATTTGTTCTTCTCATCAGAAACTACATGTACGATTTCTGGTCCGTTAGCTCCAAATACACGTTCGCCCCCTGGGTCTGATCGCACCCTACACCTTGGCACCCTTTTTTTAATTGAAAAACCTGACGAATTATTAGATTAGACACAAAACCAATAAAAAGGGTGTGAACATGTAGGGTGCGAACGTGAAAGGGGGGCGAACGTGAATGGGATTGAACGTACCCGGATTCTACATGTACCAGCTAAATATCTAGCATTAAAAAAACTTTTTATAGCAAAAAGGAAAAGAAAGTGTCATATAAAAATTAAAAATTCAAGTCTTGTCACAGAACTGTTTTCTGATTGACTACACAGAATCCTTATTCAAACACCTGCAACTCATTAAGGAAAAAATAAAATATCAGTTGATGTTTTTGTTGACAACATCCAAACCAGTCAAAAACTAAAATATCAACACAATTTCCTTACACTTACAGAATCGTTAATAATCGGTTAAATTTGTGAAAAATACTTTATCATTAAATCGAGTTGTAGATGGTAATTGAGTTAAACGTGGTTGGTAGGGGATTTGATTGGCAGTCATGTCAGAAAACAGCTATAAAATTCCAATCCCCTCATGTTGATGTCCAACCTATCACTTGATTTAAGCTTGACATGCATCAAATGTGCCCGGTTAGTTAATGATATAACACCTTATTCAAATTTAAAGTCTGGTGTTCAACAAACAATTACTTAAATGTCTATTTTTCATAAAATTAGTGTAAATAATCAATATAAGTTCTCACTTTTCGGAAACCTCAAAGCTTTACCGCCATTGCAAAGCTGCTACTTAGCAACGTTAATTTAGCAGTTTCGTATATCAACAAATATCTAATATGATATCTTAAATCCTATAAAAAAAATCTTTTGTTATAGAAAGGAATTTTTCATCATTTTTGAAAGTAAAAGATGGACTAAACTGCATTTATTTCTACCAAATATTGCGATAAGTTTCGAACTTTTTCATTTCCGTTTCCGGAAAAACAAATTTTCGATATTTGAACGTCCACACTTGCTTTAGTTACTTTTATATTTAGAAGGCACTTTTTATGTTAATTGAACAGGATGCTTGAAGTAGATGAAGATGGCAAACGCAAAATGCCTAAAGTGGCTAAGGTGACGTTCATAAACCTAAAAAATGTTTACCTGTACACTATAGTTATGACCCATGTAAAATGTAATCAAGATAGGTAAATAGTAACAAGACACTTCGGCACCAAGACAAATCGGCACCCAGGTCCGAAGACATTTCGGCATCAGGACATTTTGGGACCAAGACAATTCGGCAATGTAATATCTTCGAATATTCCGGGAACGTTACGCACAAACCTTCGGGACATTAACTTATTACGTTACATCGCTACGGCGATACCAATTGTATATTTCGTAGTCATTATTAAAATACCATCTGAATAATCAAGTCTTGCTGAGATCTTTCAATATGATATGTGATTGCGGGTGCCTTTATTACAAAAACATAAGTGAACATTTCAGAGACTGTGATAATTTAACTCATATATACAAACTTTATTTTACACATTATTAATTTACAATTATATAGTTATTTTCTAATTCAAAGTTAAGGAGGAATGTAATATCTTCGAATATTCCGGGGAACGTTACGCACAAACCTTCGGGACATTAACTTATTACGCTACGGCGATACCAATTGTATATTTCGTAGTCATTATTAAAATAACATCTGAATAATCAAGTCTTGCTGAGATCTTTCAGGCACCTAATTTTTTCTCTATATTTTCCTGAATTTCCTGAATTTTTACAGTAGTATTAAAATCCTTAAAGAATTATATGCAATATAAAATTTGAAGGCATTTGAATAAACATCATTTAATTAAATAACAATTGAATACAAAATATGATGGTGTTTGCATAAAAATCATTTATTTAAATCATAATTAATTGTAGTTATGCATTAATCAATATTTTATGTAAGTTTTGGGGCATTACATTTGCACGAAAAAAAATCCACATTTGTGCGACGAAACGCATTACGTTTGCGCCAAATTAACCTGTTGAAAATCCATTAAAAAGAAATCCTTGACTGTTTATGAACAAACTATGACAATGTATGATTGCCGAAATGAAATAAATTTACTTTTAATTATTTTAAAATTATTTTACCCATAAAGCGTACCAACAATGGGCCAGAGTATTTTCAAAACCATTGCATTGAACAGTTTTGTTCTATTGATCCAGCATCTACACCTCTATTGAGATTAAACTGCAAGTTCAGGCTACTACTTACATTAGCATGATTAGAATTCAAGGTAGCGATAACCAAGCTCTTGTAAAGCGCATATGTAATGCTTGTCATATTCAAATTCGTGCAAATGTAGGTCGCCCATAAGTTTATAAGAGGTTTTGATAATTTCTCAATGAAGAACAAAAGTGTACACTTTGTGCTTGCAGCTTGGGTTATCGTTTGATCCTTACATCTCTAAAGACAACAAAATACATGAAAACTATATTTTATTGTTTTTAACATTATATATAATTACAAGCCATACTCATAAAATGCATCATGTGTTTTATTAATTAAATACTAGAATACCATCGGAATAAAACTATGCATTACATAAAAAACTAGTATATGCAGAATTTCTATAATCTCTGTGAAATCAGTATTTATGCATGAACAAATGAGACAGCAACCCAAATGTCTAAGCTGTAATACAGTCTTCACCAATAAACATTAAAAAGAATAAACCACTTCATAAGATTTTTCATTGAAGATACCATATACAATAATGTCGTAAAACTTTAAAAATTCAAAATCAAATTGGTAATTGTAAAAAATGTTGTAAATATTTGCTATATCTACACTAAACTTGCAAATTGAGGTCATGCATACAAACCTACATCAGTCCCAGGTAATTTTAAATTTTGGTTCAATATATTTTGAACAAGGATTTAATAAGGTCTGAAAGCTAATAAATGGAATAAACACAAGGTTGATTTAATCTGTATGAGGTGCCAATTTGTTTAAGTGAAGTGCCGATTTGTCTAGGTGGCAATTTGTCTTGGTGCCGAAGTGTCTTTCTGGGCTTAGGTGCCAAAATGTCCTGGTGCCAAAGTGTCTTGAATTCAGGTAAATACCCCCCAATAATTCAGAATTATTAATTGGACTTTTTATTAACCAGGTCTTCAGCCCTTAATGTAGCCATTGTAGATTGCGTTTCGTCTGGTGTTTCCTTTTTGGAACAAATCGTCTGTCTTTTGTCCCCATTTCCATCTGTCAACTGGGTAATGTGCAAGTGCAAACTTTTAAAAACAAGTTACATGTGGTTTAAATTGATAAAATTTTATATGCTCTGGTTTTATCCCAATAGAATAGTGTAAACAAATCATGTGATCAATTACATTATTTTTGTTATCACGGAGACAATACTATGACTGCAAGCAATGCATGAAAACAGCAGTCATATTCTTTTAAAAGTATTGAATAGAAGCACAGTTTAAAATAATTTTTAACAGCTAAAGGATAACTTTGATGATGATAGGACTCAGCTAATGTAATCAAAATGAGTCCCATTACACACAAGTTATGATATGGCCCATACAGACAAAAAAATCATGCTGCCAGTATGCATGTACACACGACAGTGAACCATGTATTTGTACTTTATCATTGAGGTGTTTTTTCAATTTCATCATCCAATCTTCCGCCTATATCACCACGCCAGATTTAAAAATGTGACATAATTGGGCATACATATATGATTTAAGCAAAGAAGATGTGTAAATGACTGGCAGAAAGTATTAAACAACATTTTAATCATCTACATTGTACCTCAAACTTTTCAAATGTAATTTGCCCTTAAATGAAAATTTGAATTCAAATTGGGTTTATGAACACTTGCTGTTTGGTGTGAGCCAAGGCTTCGTGTTGAAGGCCGTACTTTGACCTATAATTGTTAGCTTTTTATTATACATTGTGACTTGGATGGAGAGTTGTCTCATTGGCACTCATACCACATCTTTTTATTTATACTAATATTAAGTCACTATCATATCTTATGTTGAATAAAAAATAATTAGGCTGAATTATTACCTTAGTACACCTGCAATTACATGGGGTTTGTGTTGCTCAATATTAAGTTGCATGTATCTGTGTAGTGCTTTGAGGACTTTAGTTCGTCTTTTATTTTCACCATATGTATGGTGTTGTCTGACCAACTGCAACATTTGATATGTATTGCCTCACTTTTTTAAGATGTGATGACAGAGCTTATAAAAACATTTGCTATTGTGATTGAAGGATATTTTCTTATGTAGGTGCCCAACAAGTCTGTAGACAGTTATCTTTAAATCAAATTGAAAAAAAACAAAACAAATTATCAGTCCTAAACCCAGCAAATTTTATGCATCGAGAAGTTTAGGACTTAAAAGTGGACATTTTTTCATTTATGAATTAATTAAGTTTGAAAATACCAAAATCAATCTCAGTTTTCCACCTATTTATGATGAAATATATATGATAAAGCAAAAGATTAACAATATAAAATGCTAATACTGACTTGATTTAATTCATTCATGTCATACTGTATATTGACTTTAATTTTTTTATTTGAAGGTTAAGAACAAGATGCCAGCACCAGTCCAGATTACTGCAGAACAGTTACTCAGAGAGGCCAAAGAGAGGGAATTGGAGCTTGTACCTCCAGTATGTTACTTATAGGGGTTCAAAAAAGTTCTTTTGGTTAACAGTTAACCAATTTTCCAACAAATTGTCAATTTTATTATAATTTTACCAACAGCTTTTTTTTCAAATCAGGTGTTGAAAAAAAATTATCTTATGTTAAAGTCACCTGAATTGAGATTTTGTTACTAGTGCAATATTGGTTTCAGTACCTAACAGTTTTGAAAGTTGCTCTTGAATGATAGAGAATAAATTGACCATGTCTATAAGGCTCAAGACTGGTTATTTTTTTCGAACTCCTTTTGAATTTCAACAAGTATCTACTTAATTTAATTAATAAGTTATTTCCAATATATGGAGACAGGTCACAAATGTTTTTTTTTAAATTCTTTTTATGGTTCACATTAATAATGCAATAACAATACTGATGTAAGCAAACTTTTATTTTAAAGCCTCCAAAACAGAAAATATCTGATCCAGATGAATTAGCAGCTTATAAAATGAGAAAAAGAAAAGTGAGTACATTTTACATATTATCGTTTAAAGGACTATGAGATTTTAGCAATTTCATGCATTTATTTCTTTTGAGATCAATCCTAACTTTTTGAAATTTCTCCCAAATATATTTCTCTAAGGTGTTATTATAAATTTTTTAACTCTGAGTCAGTGACACTATATCAACAAGAAGCTGTTTGGAAAAAGTCTACAATGTCAAGATGCTACTTGAAAATTTCTGCTACTGTGAATTCATTATTATTTGTGAAATACTAATTTTTGGGGGTATAAGTGAACCACTAATTTAAATGTTCAATGAAGTACAAATTTACTGTAGGTTAATATGCAAACTTGGCAAAACCACGAAATCAAAATATATCCATGAAAAATACTATTTATCCGCAATCCACCAAAATTGGTACCCACTAAAATAAATGACTACACAGTATGTCAGGATGCTCCTTCAATTTTTAATTATGTCATCATGTTACTTGAAAATTTCTGCTAGGTCAAAATGGTACTGGAAAATTTCTGCTATTTCAGGATTCTACTGGAAGATTTCTACAATGTTCTATTACTACTGAAAAATGTTATTTTGTCAGGATGCCACTGGAAAATTCTTTTATTCT